TTTTTATACTTTTGTTTCAATATTTACAAATTAAATTAAATTTTACGCTGAAAACTTTGTACTTCTATTTATAGACCGCATTGCGGACGTGAAAGAAAACACTGTAAACAACGGTTGTGATAATTATTAACTTCCAAATGTTTTTATTTTTAAGTTGGAAAGTGATTATCTATCATGAATATCAAATTAAGAATATCAGTAATAAGGCATTGGGCATAACAAAAAAGTGTTTCTCTCTTTAATGTCAAAAATGTAATAGTGTGTCAGTTGTTTTGCCAGACGAATTTATTTCAGTCTTTATGCAACTGTATCCTGTCAATTTATGAAATGAAACAAAGCAACGTTATAGTATAAGCTTTAATTTATTATATTGCGTGTGCATGAGTGTATATGCATGCGTTTTTAATTTTACTTCATTTTGTGTTCACGGCCCATATATCAACACTCCTTTTTTAAGTCTCTGATCTGTGCCGTTTTCCAGTGTTTATAAGTTAGTGTAGGGACAGTTGCAACACGGTATTATATACAAGATACTTCCAAGTCCGTGTCTGTTTTCTATAAAAGAGTTGTGGAAAAATAATGGTGCATAGCTCTTCTTACAAGGTTGAAGCTTTTAGTTGGTCAGCCAGTAAACCTAGTCCAAATAATTATGACGTCTTGAAAGGCTATTTCATTTTTTTTGCAAGACATTATAGATCATTATAATTATTTGGACTACCAGTTAACCCTACTCAACAACTCTCCGACTATCACGCCATGGTAAATTATTTTGGAAGGAAGATCTGTTTCACTCGGGCAAGAAATTTCATGTACAATGACTACACTTTTTGATAAATGTTGATGAAGTGCATTGAGTTCAGTTTCACCGTTATTGTCTATTTTTCCGACGAGGCAGAATCTCCCGACATATTGAAAATATTTTTTTCTGGTGTAAGGGAGATAAAAAATGAAAACAACACGTTATAAATTAAGTGCGTCCGAAGCGCTTTTCTGGATTTACCGTAATCAGGAACGCTCAAAGCCGAACATTTGAAAGCCAAGGATGCATAAAACCGAAACAGTTGAAGAGCTATATAATCAAAAATGACCTAAAATGATAGCCAAATCCGTCTAAGGCCAACTTTGTCTGAGGGAGTTGAAACTTTAGTTTCCTTATAATTTCAAAATTTATGAACGGGCAAATTTAGAAAGGGTTGTTATTATTCATGTCAATACCAAAGTACTGACTACTGAGCTGATGATACCCTCGGGGACTGATAGTCCACCAGCAGAGGTATCGACCCAGTGCTGTTAAAAATGAAAACAACACGTTATGAATTTAATGCTCATAACAACGAACGTAATTTTTGCCGTTTTCCGTTAGAGGCGCTGATTTACGTACCTCTCACCTTAAAATAAATGATACAACCACGTACGATGTTCTTGGCTTTTGAAAGACATAAAACATGTACTGGGGTTAAAGGGTTAAAATAGTTTGTTCGGGGATAGATATCTCCATCCTTCTCATTTTAATCTCGGTTTTGATATTTTCCCCTCAATTATTTAGTTTGTTTTTCTAACTTTCCAGTGTTTAGCTTGAACAAATCTGATCGAGTTTAAAAAAAAGAAGCTTTTTATGAATTAAAAAAAGATTCTCTTATGGCTGTGGTCTTTTATCTGTTTCTTGCATGAAGACATATGTCTCATATCACACTTCACGACACTGCAGGGAGTGTGATACGAAAAATGTAAAGAAAACTGATTTAATTTGTTAACGATATATATTACGACATTTCAATTTGCTATTCGTTAGGTCATTGATGACTTTCAAAGGTTAAGACGATATAGATTTCGTCTAATGCAATAGACATATATGATTTCCTCGAAATACAAAAAATACAAAACACCCACACTTTTCACCTGAACATTTTTTTTTATCAAAAGTTATTACATTCTGAAGCGTACACTATTTTTAAAAATGTCTGATGTCATAGTTTATCGCCGGAATATGACATATGACGTCATACAGGTATATGCAAAAGACTAGATCAACGATTCGCGGAATTTAACAAAATGAGGGTGTTGCCCATAAGAGAAATACGTTTAACAACTCGTGAAAATTGGATATCGCTTGATGTCACCTCTCGTTATTTAATTTAAATAGTAATAATAAACTCGCCCAATGCTCGTTTATATTATATTAAAATTAAATAACTCGAGCCGATATCAAGCGATATCCGATTCTCACTCGTTATGAAACCTTACAACATATTTGCGTTCAAGATGTTACTACTCTGTAATGTAAATATAAATATAAAAGTTGTAGACTAAAAGAGGGCTTACTTAGTTCGATATTGACAGAAATTGGCCTTGTAACGAGTCACACATGGACAATTCTTACAGTTGTTGCAAGGATTATTCGGAAAACCAGATTTACCAGTATAATATCAATTGGTACGGCTAAATTATTGCGACTGTAGTCAACTTATATTAATTATAAAATATTGTATATAAACTTGTCTACCAGGAATTCTTAGTTGATTAGTGAAAATTGTGAAATTGTTACTAAAAAAAGGAAACTAAATTAAGTTCATCTTGATTTTATATTTGGTATGTATTTTTTGTTACAGAACTATTTTTTCTGCTGCGAGAGTCGATAAGAAAGACTATTCAATCTTCTACTTTTTTTAATGCTTATCCAAGATGAAATATAAAATTATTACAACCTCTCCAGACATATTGATGTGAGGAAGAATATTTCCTTCTTTTCAGCAGTACCAACATGTTCATTTCACATACCCTTAGTCTTTACTTTGATAGGTAAGTTAGCTATCACACATAATAACGATAATATAATTTATTCTATGATATCTTTAATGAGCTTTTTTTTAATTCAATATTCAGTTGCTATGAATAAAAACAGATTTTAAATGAATATTTTATTTTCTCAATTTTCAATAACATGTTTGAAGGGATAAATACTTCCAGAACACAAAAGAGATAGTTAAAAATTATACTAATTTCTAATTCTCTTTCCCCCAAATGTGACCGAATTAGACTTATCTACGGGTTTGTATTTACATGACCAACACGACGGATGCCACATGTGGAGCAGTATCTGCTTACCCTTCCGGAGAACATGAGATCACCCCCGGTTTTTGGTGGGGTTCGTGTTGCTCAGTCTTTAGTTTTCTATGTTGTGTTTTGTATATACTGTTGTTTGTCTTTTGGTTTTTTTATTGCCAGACCGTTGTCAGTTTATTTTCGACAAATGAGTTTGAATGTCCATTTGGTATCTTTCGACTCTTTTTAAAATTATTGTATAATACTATATTATATATATATAGTGCTTTTTTTTGCTATAAATTAGCGAATAAATCATTCCAAATGCTAATCATTTATTCAAAGTTGATATTGAACAACAACACATGTTTATCTTGTAGAATTATCTAAAGTGCTACATGCAAAAGTGGAAGCTCCATGGAAAATACCACGACGTGAAGCGCACTCGTTCCTCACAGCTCAAACTAGAAACAAAAGAAGCGATCCCGCTTGCAATACAAACGAGTATTATTGTGAAGCAAACAAAGGAAGTTGTATGGTACAGACTTAATTAAGTCATTGTTTTGAATAAATATTCGAAATAATGATACAAAATTTAGTAATATCAAACAGAAATAATTCATCGACGACGTCTAAAAAGGGCTGTAGAAGAAGTAAAAATGGTAACATGATGATGAGACAGCAATCTAACGGTCATAGTGCTAATTTCCCCTGTATTTATTTTACTCAAAGGCTATATTTTGTTTAGAAATATGAAACAAATAATAAAGGGTTAATGGTATGATTGCAAATGAGAAAACTATCCACAAGTGACCAAGGGACCTGAATTTAATCATACAGTTTGGATCAGTCCTAACGTCTTACTTCTTTTAAGAACTGTATGCAATCCTTGAACTGTTGTACCTACTGTCTAGAATTGTTCTAGGGCAGAACTGTCCAAATCTGTTCTATGTTAGAACTATCCAAAACATTGTCGATGAGTACTTCTAGAGTAGAGCCGTCAGAATCTGTTTGAGGTTAGAAGTGTCTATAGTCGCTTCTGTCAGAAACTGTTCTCAAGGTGTCAGGAGAACACTTCTCCTGAAATTTTAAGAAAGGTTAGAACTGATCCATACTGTATATAGATCACCGTACAACCTTCAATAATGAGTAACAGCCACACCGTATAGTAAGATACAAAAGGACCCAGCATATGATAAACCAATAAACGAAAACAAGTATGACAGACAGCAACAAATGACAAACCACTGATTGACATATTTCTAATTATATATAAACCGAATAATAAAAGTCGGAAGATGGTTCAAAATTGCAAATATGGTTGCATTTGATCGATTTCGGTTACAAAAATCCGTTCTTAATCAAAACAAAAATTCTAACGAAAGTAAAACTTTGTATTTTGTTTGAAATACAAATAAATTAATCTTGGGTTACAATGTCCGTTGATGCAAAAATTTACAAAAACATGTAAAATTCTCAAATTTCGTTCAAAACTGTCTTACTTATCAATGAGAGAATGAGTAGCTGTTGTGGTATTGAAACATTTTAGTCTTACAAATCAAAACACTTTTCTAGTTGGAATTCGGTACACTTCCAATTTTTTACTAAATATGTTGTTTTCAAATAGAAACATGCCAATAAAGCAATTAATTTCAGATGCACAATGAACAATCTCGGGAGCATTATTGCGGCCAGGGTCATACCTGTACTTCTACACAAGCCTGTTACTTATCTACACCCTGTCCAGCTCATTATGAATATGGCTGTACAGGTAATGTTAAAATTCATACTTTTAGTATTAAGGATTAAAATTCATTTAATTTTTTTTTCTCATAAAATACATAGTTAAGAACAAATTTAAACAAAGTGCAAATAATAAGCATTATTTACCTATATTCCATACAAAAGAATATAACTCAGAGTACAAACAATATATTTTTAACTAATGTTTCTTTTAGTGTGGTGATAACTTAAATGATGAATTAAATAGGTATTTTATATCGTCATTAGATGACCAGTGCCTATCTTTTCCATGCCATAACGGAGCTACGTGTCAGGACACAAGTACTAGCTATAACTGTCAATGCGTTTCAGGCTGGGATCCAGCAACTAATTGCGCTACAGGTAGGTTTCTCTTTATAAGAAGTAACTCACTTAGTTTGTAAACTCCTAGTTCCGAATGTGATTGAAGTGAACTTGTTTCTTAAACAATCATTTCGTCGAGAAATTTTGTTCTGATCCGGTATTCTTTGACTACTTACTGCGCTACGGGTAGGTACAAATAACTAACTAAGTTGATGTGTTCCAGGATCGGAGTCTTTTACTAGATAGATACTTCATTCTTGAAAAACGAAGTACAAATTTACAGAGAAACATACAATATCAATGAAAAACAATAACGTTTAAGGCAAACAAATGCAGTACGATTATGTAAAATGAAGTCTAAAATTATGATGACATATATGTATAATAAACTGTTAAACGAAATATAAAGTAATCAATTATGAAAATATACATTAACGTGGAGATCATATATATTTACATTCTGACTATGAGCGAAGGTTTTTCTAATAAATAACTCACTGAAACAAAACTTTTCAACCAGCAACTAATTGTACTACAGGTAGGTTTTTCTGTATAGAAATAATTCATTGAGTTTTTGTACTTAAAGCGGGAATCCAGAGACTAATTATACAACAGATTGGTTTAACCTGAGGAATTATGCTCAAAGTTGCTGACTGTGCTGTAAGTATACTTTTTTTTTTAAACAATTAATCGCTGAAATGTTCTATTCAAAGAGGGGATGTAGTTAATTGCTGTTTTATCTCTACAAATAATTTAATTAGGCGTTTTGATCAAGGCAAGGATCTGTGGAGCTGGATAGATTAACCTGTACGTGTTGTGTTTTAGTCTGTTATCTTGCTATTACTATTAACTATGCTAAATGTTGTGTTTTGTACAATATTTTTATGGAATTTAAATTTTTTGGAAAAGACTTAATTGTTGATGCGGGTCCTGAAGGTTGGGGAATGTTTACAGAAATTGGACGCATATTTCTTGTTTTATTAACAATTCTGTCTTTAAAGTATTTAATACAAAAACCGGATTGTAACGTGCTAGCTAACTAAGTAACAAATTAACATTGTCCAAAAAAAATAGAAAGTCCTTCGCTATGTCAAACATTATTCCTACTGCAACCCGGACAGTCTTTACTCGTGCAACTTATTCTCCGTACGGCAGAAGCAGAAGTTTAAAATTTATTTTTTTTGGTCGCAACCAACCTCCAACTACTTAACCAGTTGTACATAAGTATCTTTTTTAAAATAACTTTCTCAGACTATAACGAATGTAGTTCAAACCCATGTCAAAATGGTGGATCGTGTGTTGACCACTTCAATAGATACAGTTGTTCTTTCATCCCAGGTTATGATGGAGTCAATTGTCAAACAGGTCAGTTTCTAATCTTTGAAATACCAGAGATACATTTCTCATACAAACGGCAATTCCACAGTTGAATAATGAATTAAGTTTCATTTCATCAATGAAAAAGTCTAAAAGACACAAGTCACTTTGATACTAGCTATTCTGTGTAAAAACTCATCGAAGATACCAGGCTTATAAGTGTGTAAGTCAGTACAGTCTTTTTTCAATGTAAATATTTACAATTGATGTTCATTAAAAACACTAATTTTCGAATTCGTCCGAGATATTGCTGATATAAACCTATGATATAAGTTTTATAAAAATCTCGCAAGAATTGTACGTGTGAGAGCGCTAACAAGACCAGACGGACGCCCGGTATTTCTATGTCCCCCACAACGCGGTGCGCGGGGGACAAAAAACTGATAAACAGTTTCAAACAGGATATAAAAAACCAAAAATAAGACGCATATCATAAGATATACATTAAGCACTAATTTACATATTTAATTGTTGTAATTCCACTTCAAGATAAATTTTAGAATAATGTCTCATCAAAGTTTGACAAACAATTTCCCTTAAAGAAATATTGTCGTCTTGTATATTAAAAAAAAAACTTAAACGTAATTTTGATTATATTTGATATTGAATATCAATTAATTCAGAATTAAAAAGAAAAGGTAAACAAATTATTGATTTAATGAAATATGATGTTGGATGTGTTCTGATTGATATTTTAGTCTTAGATACATGATTTTTTTTATTAGTTGTTATTGGTTTAAAAAAAATTTAACAAAAATACCGAACTCCAAGGAAAATTCAAAACGGCAAAATCAAAAGTTCAAACAAATCAAACGATTGGAAAACATCTGCCATATTCCTGACTTGGTACAGGCATTTCCTTATGTTAAAAATGATGGATTAAACCTGGTTTAAAAGCTAGCTAAACATCTTACTTGTATGACAGTCGCATAAAAATCCATTATATTGACGGCTTTGAACTAGCTGTCAGTAACTGCGAGTACTCTCAGATCTGTACTTAGTGTCCTTTTTTGTTGTAAGGGATGAGGGATGGGCAAATACCCTGCCAAGTCTGGTCTGTGTTTTTGTTTGATGTTTTTTTCTGCTTTGTATCGATCTGATGAGCTTAGCCTTTTTCAACGGATTTTTATAGTTTGTTCTTAGGTTTTGCTAATACACCACTGTCCCAGATTAGGAGAGGGTTGAGCGCTAACAAAACGTTTAACCCCGCCACATTCTTAATATGCTGGTCCCAAGTCAGGAGCATGTAGTTCAGTGGTGGTCGTTGGTTCATGTCTGATATATTTTTTTTTCGTGAATTGTTCTGTTATAAATTAGGCCGTTAATTTTCTCAATTAAATTGTGTTATATTTTTTCAAATCGGGGCCTGTTATAGCCAACTATATTGTATGGGTTTTTCTCATTGTTGAAGGCCGTATGGTTGCCTTTAATTGCTTACATCCACTTTATTTGAACTTTGGTGGATACTTGTCTCATTTTGCAATCATACCAAATCTCCTTATTTTTATAATACAATATTTAAAGAAGAACAAATTCAATAGAAGACTTTCAAACTATAGAGGTAAATTCAGTAGAAATCCACCCATTGACTTTAAAAATCTACACCTTGATCTGCAACTTAACGCGGGGAACACTGCTAAACAAATACACTATGTCGAAGGGAGGTAATTCTGATTTTGCATATGATTTTACACATTATTAGAATAAATATGTTCAGCATTTGATGTAAAATGAAGAGAATATCTATGTCTTATAACTCTAAGGGGTAATTTCTATTGTTTCTTTCAATCTGAACACAAAACTGATTTTTCCCATATGCACCATGCTTCCTCCCACAGCATATTCAGTACATCCTTGCCAGCCGCAATAAAACATAGAATAATATATGAAAAAAACTTATAAAGAGAGGCGAAAGATACAAAAGAGGCATTCAAACTCATAATTCGAAAATAAACTGACAACACCATGGCTAAAAAGAAAAAGACCAACAGACAAATAACAGTACACCAAACACAACATACAAAACTAAAGACTGGGCAACACGAACTGTTTCCAAAAAGTTTCCCATGCATTATATTTACAGGAAATAAGCTTTGTGTTTATTGTGTGGCCTTTAAAAAGTACAATGACAGAGTGCATATTATCCTATAGGGGTGAATTCAGTAAAAAATCTTCCATTGACTTTAATTCAAATCTATGTCTTGAATTGAATCTATATTTGGTTTACCTTTAGGAATAAGAAGCTTTCATTCATCATTCATTAAAGTACAAATATAGCCCCTTTTTGCACCAATATAAACATAGGGTCATGCGCCTTTTTTTGTTCCATTCACATGGTCTGTTTACAAACACTGTAGATTCGCACAAAAGTCTTATACTGACCCCCATTACTTTTCAACCCTACGGTAAAAAATTAAGTGCATTCATATTTTTTTTTTTAAATCTAGTTTTGATCCATCTATCGAAAATATTTATTACAAACATTATCTACCCATCAGATGAGCACATGACAGTAATGTTATACAGAAAGCTCTCCCCCGAATGGGCGGTTCCTGATGACGTATATTTATTTACTGAAAAAAGTAAAATCATAAAAATACTGAAGTCCGAGGAAAATTCAAAAAGGCAAGTCCCTAATCAAATGGCAATATCAAAAGCTCAAACACATCAAACGAATGGATAACAACTGTCATATTCCTGACTTGGTACAGGCAGTTTCTTATGTAGAAAATGGTGGATTGAACCTGGTTTTATAGCTAGCTAAACCTCTCACTTGTATGACAGTCGCATCAAATTCCATTATATTGTCAACGATGCGTGAACAAAACAAACAGACACAATAGGTAAAAATGTCAAAAATAGGGGTACAGCAGTCAACATTGTGTTATCATAAATGTAACGAAGAAGCACAAAAAGGCATACATCAAATTTAACATCCTCATTTTGCTTTTTTATTATACGATTTTATTTATCTATGTAAAATCCACCCATAAAGGATGGAAGGTTATTTATCCCTATGTTAAGGTTGACACGTATTACTTATCTGTTAAAGGTCCTATAGTTGCATATCCGTTTAAGTCACAGTTGATCAATTGAAATCAATTAAGTAATCAAAATTTTAAACTGAATCTGAATCTAACATAACTTTACATAGAAAACTTACATGCGTTATTCATCGGAAGATACCAAGGTATTTTTGATAAATATTCCGTATCAACTATTGTGCTATTGTTCTATAGTGATTTTTGTATTCATGCCTTTCATTTTTGCTTATGTACTTTGTATATATAGTGTTTATATGCCATTTTTTATAGTGATTAAGATTATAACACAATTTTGACTGCTGTACCACAATTTTTGACATTTTAACCTATTATGTCTTTTTGTTTTGCTCACACATTGTTGTCAATATAATGGAATTTATGCGACTCTCATACAAGCGAGAGGTTTAGCTAGCTATAAAGTCAGATTTAATCCATCATTTTCTACATACGGAAATGCCTGTACCAAGTCAGGAATATGACATATATTTTCCATTCGTTTGATGTGTTTGAGATTTTGATTTTGCCATTTGATAAAAGACTTACCGTTTTGAATTTTCCTTGGAGTTCGGTATTTTTGTTATTTTACTTTTTTACAAAACATTATAAGTTAATATCCACAACAGAACAAATATCGTTCATAAGAAATGACCTAAAGATATAACTTGAGTGTTAAAGAAGCAACAGAAGCTTACCGATATTCAGTTCTCGTTAATTCATTAAGAAGATACAAATCAGGGTAAAAAGAAAAAAAGCAAAAGACCAGACGCTGTACAATCAGACTTCAAACAAAATATTCTGTAAAGAAGCTTTCATCAAGATAACATTGTAAACATGAGACATCGGAAATCTCGAACGAATGTCATTTATACAGTTTTAGTGACACAAGTAAAGAATCGTTTAACATAATTAACCTACTACAACAAATTGTCATCACAGGTCTAGTTTCTCACAAAGTCAGTTTTCCATGTTCTTGGTTTCTTACAATAATGCACATTTGAAGTGATACTATTTACAGATATAAATGAATGTGCTTCAAATCCATGCCAAAATGGTGGCACGTGTACAGACCAAGTAAATGCTTTCGTGTGTTCATGTATGTCAGGATATGCTGGAGTAAATTGTCAAACAGGTATTGTCAATTCTAGAAAACTGAGATTACATTCTTATATTATACAAAATGCATGACAATAATATAAAAACGATCGTTCATCTGTGATGATTCTAGAAACAATAATCATTTCATGAATATGAAAATATTATAATATCAAATACTCCGATCGTTTATGATACAATCTATGATATCAGAAGTAAGGTGAATGAGTCTAACCGTAAAGAATAAATGTGTATTAAAACAGATAATTGCATGTTTTAGATATTAATGAATGTGCATCAAACCCATGTGAAAATGGCGGAAGTTGTACAGATCATGTCAACAGATACACTTGTTCATGTGTACAAGGGTATATTAGATCTAACTGCCAGACAGGTATTTAATTATATCCAGTTGTTTAATACCATCATGGTTTGTAGTATAAACTTAGAACACATGTAAATAACAATTTATAAATATGGTCTGTCTAATGTGCTTTCCTTAATTTACCTTTATCAGGAACGGTGAAAATGGGCAGTAATGGAACCCATTTTCGACATTTTTCAACTATTTCAGTACTTCATCAATAATTCTCAGGAATTTAATCTTCAATTCAGTTGTCAAATTTATTTGTGAGTCTCGATAGCTCTTGCAATTGTCAGTTTTACAAGTAGTCAACAAGGAACGTATTCTGGCATACTGAAGTTTTTTTTTATCGCCGTCACGTCTCCAATAAGCCGGGCTTGTCATTCTTCTTGACAATGATTTTGTACACGGCGTTTGGTTCAATTACAATAAGCAAGCTTCTTTCCGATTTTAACGCTTTTTGGGATAGTCTTTTCCTCAATTATAATATCTCAATGTATCTTTCAGAAATAAGGAATGTTTAATAAAAGCTCATGTTTCTAAAAAGGAATTGAACGAAAATTTTTTAGAATAATAATAACAATGTTGCATTAATTAAATTCACATCTCTTTCAATTTTAGATTTCAAATTAGTTATTCATGAGCAAAGGAAATAATCCAGTTATATTTTAACTGCTGAAACAAGGGAATCGTACTTATCATGCGCTCATTCTGTACTTCTTTAACTATTTACCGATTCAGAAAAACACTTCAAATATTACTTATTAATACTTTTTGTTAAACAAGTACTTTGACCCTTTTCTTCTGGGTATATGATTAATTTCGGTAACAATTTGTTGCTTTTGAAACAAATCTTCATTTCAAAATTAACTAGGTCCTCTACTTAGATTTCAGTGTGGGAATCCTGTTTCATCATTTTACTTAAATTCCTCTTTGAAAAGTATATTATTGTTTGCTGGTTTGGATGCAAATGTTTATTAGGGTCACAGTTTTAGAATTAGGGCTGCAACTTCAGCAGCTGCCAGAGAAGTGCCCTTATCTATGATTCAAAACAAAGGTAGATGGAAGTCTAATGCCTTTCAGCGTTACTTAAGACTTGAAAATTTTTGTATGTAAGTAAGTAACCTTCTGTCCTCTTGGTAGTAATTATTTGTTTTTATTTTGTCGAACATTCTAGACTAACTAGTAGAGGTCAACATGGTTTGCTGTACAGTTTTTCGTACATTTAAGTATATTTGGGTAGAGGTCAACATGGCTTACTCTACATTTGTTTTCATTCAGCATGTCCAATACATTGTGTTTTGTAAAATGTTTTTATTTGTTTGTTTTTCTTTTTATATTTTAGAAGTTTTAAGTGAACATTTTCACATGACTATTATTAACTATTTGTTTTTATTTTCACATGTATTTTGGTCTATATGGACTGTAGAGGTCAACACGGCTTGCTCTGCATTTTGGTTGTCAGAAATGGCTTATTTTCGCAAGCTTTATATGCCGTACAATTATGAACAAGTCGTATTTGTCTTTCCTAGTTTGGAAAGGGCAGTCCTCGGGTGGGGATCCCCTTTGGGGTTTTGTGGCATTTTCTAAACCCCACCTTTGCTCTTTAATGTCATTGTCATTTATTTGCTACTATTAATATTGTTAATGTGTCATTCTCAAATTTTGAATAAATGACATTTTGCTCCCGAAGATAAGGGTGGCTGAAGTATTGCTTATGATGAGTCATGGTCATCCCTGTTATCATGTTGTACAGTTGCCAACGGTATCACGTTATTGTCCTTTACTAGTTGAATGCCGGATTTGTGCAACTTTGCAAACAATGCTTCAGCAATGTCATTTGCGGATAGACTGGTTTGAGGATTATTGTATGAGAAGAACTCATAGGAATATTGTCCGGCAAATCAGCTCGTTGTGGTTGTGTCCTAATACTCCTTCGTTTCTTTGCCATTGGTCTATTTAATGTCGGCAAAGCAGTAGTCTCTACCTCAAAGACATCCCCAACCGTCGCCTCAGTCAAATTTCTGGGAGCAACGTTCCTTTGTGTTCTTTGCTTTGGCATTTTGATTAATAATTAAAAAAAATATACTATTTTAATTGTTAGTACAATATTGTCTTAATATGACCAATTGAGGAAAATATTGATCCAATAAATATTAGGTATATTTGTAATATGACCAATTGAGGAAAAAAATGATCTAATAAATATTAGGCATATTTGTAAACCTATACATGTATAAATGAATACATATATTCAACCAATATTGGATTAAACATGTTGAAACAAAAATTAAATATACTGATAAAGTCCAGAAATACAACTATTATATGTATGGAAAACATGTAAAATTTAATTTTACAACCAATTTACCCTATTGTGACATAACCATATAGGGTAATAAACCATTAAGTATGTTCCTCTGCTTGGACCAAAGTCAATACACATGTATGTACATGAAAAATGATTAAATAGTTAATCCACATGTAAAATATAACATTTAACTGAACCATGTAATAATATAAGATATTAGTAATGTCAACCATTCTTGTGTCACAACCATAATAAACCAAAGCAAGACACATATATTAAATTAAGTAGTAATGTAGTACCATATTTTCAGTATATAACCATAATATTTGTCAAGTTACCACATGACAAGAGCCTCCATATCAATTTTTTGAATAGTAGATAATTGCATCATTATCAACATAAAAGTGATAAAATAAATATTTAACTTCGAGCTGGACTACCTACAGCTGCTAGAACACTCTTTGTATATTTGTCCATGCCTGTAGCATTAAAATGCACCTTGTCATTTGATAACAGTGCTAGAGTGTTTTCCCAAAAACCCCTGTGCTGCCAGTAGCTAATATCGCAACGTCGATATACATTTTTCGTAGCTCTTTGTTTATCTCTATAACCTTGTTATCATAATTGTCTTCCAATTCTCCGGAGTATCTCGGCAGCAACTGACCTATATTCACGTGACGAACATGATAGCATTTGATTATGTAAACGGCAAAAAAACTATTATACCTCTCGCTAATCTAGCGGGATTTGATTCAGCGGATAAATCATTGCCGCAGATTTGAAGAAAAACATAATGAGACTTATAATCATCAATAATTTTGATAAATTCTTGCCTTTGAACGCATTTTGGACCCGGACGAAGCGTACTTCCACCCAAACCGAAATACTCGACTTGAATGTCTGTACCATCAAACCCCAAATTAAACCATCCCTGATAGCAATTTCTAAACAAAAATGATTCCAATCTATGAATAAAAGAGTGACAAAAAAAATAATGCATGCCGGACCATGGTTCAAAGACAAATATTGAAGTTAAAAATAAAATGATTAAGGTTCGCTTTTACCTGAAATATAGCTGTACGTTCAACAAAGATGGACCTTCCTCAGTTTTTTGGAATTTCACAAGTAGTTGGAAATCTGCTCTGAAAAAAAATTTTGTGGTACCCTAAAAAAACACCCCAAATATTAATTGCCAAAACAATCGGGAAAATCACTTTAATTGTAATGGGCAAATTTCTTATATCCTGTGGCCATTCACCTGCAAACTATTGTCAAAAACAGCAGTAAACCCACCATGTGTCCCAGCAACATCTGAATAAAGCTTCAAAACTTCTGAGGAAACCCATATTTTATATAAAAAACATGATTTACTATTAAAATCCTTGATAAATATATCCCATAATTCAAGATCTAATCTTGCTTCAGAATTTAACTTTGTTCTATAATGTGGAGATGTATGACCTATAGTCAAATCAAATAACATGCGCAAGAAAGCTCTACCTGGAATAATAACCCCGCAGGCAAAATTCAAAATACCCAATAATGACTGTAACTCTCTTAGAGCTACATTATGTTTACATTTGATTAACTGAGTAATAGTGAAATTTTTTGATTTTTTTCCTCAGGTAAACGAGCAACCATCTGTACGGAATCAGTTTCAATTCCATATATTACAAGACAGGTAGTTGGGAGTTGTGTTTTTTCCATTTGTCATTTCTCTGCAAGTCACATAAAAGTGTGCAATGCTGTCAAACAATTATTAATAACAGATTTTCCTATAAAGAAAAAATCAAAGTTACAAAATATTTTCTAAGCTTCAAATAAACGATAATTCTTCTTTGAGAGAAATGAGCTGAATGACTGCATGTCTAAGCTCATGCAATAATCTGATCCTAATTGCCCTTCCCAACAACTGGCTAATACACTTCCTTATTTGACCATAGCATACACTGATCATGCAGACCTTGACCTCATGATGTAAAATACTGCCCTAGACCTCATGTGGTTGATCGAATAGATAGAATTACTATACAGTAGATATTACTTAATCCTCAATGATAATCTGAACTTGCAAACAAATTTTTTTTTATTTCCAATGAATTTATGTTTTAGATATTAATGAATGTTCATCAAACCCTTGTGAAAATGGCGGAAGTTGTACAGATCATGTCAACAGATACACTTGCTCATGTGTACAAGGGTATATTGGATCTAACTGCCAGACAGGTATGTAATTACATCCTGTTGTTTAATACCATCATGGTTTGTAGTATAAACTTAGAACACATGAAAATAACAATTTATAAATATGGTCTGTCTAATGTGCTTTCCTCAATTTACCTTTATCAGGAACGGTGAAAATGGGCAGTAATGGAACCCATTTTCAATATTTTTCAACTATTCAAGTACTTCATCAATAATTCTTAGGAATTTGATCTTCAGTTGTCAAGTTTTTTTGTGAGTCTCGATTGCTCTTGCAATTATCTGTTTTACAAGTAGTCAACAAGGAACGTATTCTGGCATACTGAAGTTTTTTTTATCGCCCTCACCTCTCCAATAAGCCGGCTTTGTCATTCATCTTGACAATAATTTTGTACACGGCGTTTGGTTCAATTACTACAAGCTTCTTTTCGATTTTAACGCTTTTTGTGAAAGCCTTTTCCACAATTATAATATTTCAGTTTAACTTTCAGAAATAAGGAATGTTTAATAAAAGCTCATGTTTTTAAAAAGGAATTATACGAAATGTGTTTAAAATAATAATAACAATGTTGCATCAATAAAATTCACATCTCTTTCAATTTTAGATTTCAGATAAGTTATTCATGAGCAAAGGAAATAATCCCTAATATATTTTAACTGCTGAAAAAAGGAATTGTACTTATCATGCGCTCATGCTGTACCTGTTTAACTATTTACCGATTCATAAAAAAACACTTCAAATGTTACTTATAATACTTTTTTTGTGAAACAAGTACTTCGACCCTTTTCTTCTGGGTATAAAAATAATTTCGGTAACATTTTGTTGCTTTTGAAACAAATCTTCATTTCAAAATTTTTCATATGATTAAGAGATAATATAAATCAACTCAAGATATATCTAATTTTCCAAAATCAGTTTAAGTCATTCCAGATTGATAAACAAAAATATTTAACCGAAAAGGAGATGGATAACCATCACAAATAACTATTTCATCAATGTTAAAGAAAGAAAATAAGAAGCACGAACATTTATTTCCAATTGAAACAAACATCGTTTAGATTATTTCAGAAACACGTGATGTGCGAACGGACTCATATGATACATTTCTTACTACAATAGAATCGGTTTCGCTACTGGCTGACTATCATTCAACGAAGGAACCATCAACCGAATAGCCTTTGATTCCGTAATGATGTAACTACGCCAGCACCAGTTGGTATACCGTTATTGAACATCGGTTTCATATATGACAACGAATATGTTCCTAATTGTCGAAACGACTGTGTTATATTATTGAGTTTCTTAATGACTGATAACTAAATCCATGTAAATTCTAATACTTTAATAATACACTAAGACATGATTATAACAACTGCTAGAAATCCCCAAGATACAACGTTATATTTAATCAGTTAAAATGTCACTAAATCAGGTAGGCGGTACTAAAATTAGATGCACGTGTAAAGATAAACAAGTAAAGTAAATACAAATGATTGATATCATTACACACTGTTACGTTAATTTAATAAAGTTACCGCATTATCGATATTTCTTGTAAACAACAAAACGTCGAAAAGCCGTGTCAAAAGTCATCAAAAATACTCTTCTCATAATGTCTTGTACGCCAACGTGCATTTCGTCTACATAAGACTTTTCAGTAAGTCTATAATCATAGCAAGTTGCAGGCAAAACTGATTACAAATTTGAAGAATACTGGAAAACTAAAAATTTCTATGAGAAGTTTATTTCTAAAGTTCGGCAATTTCTGTCATGCAATGGCAGTAGAAAAACAATTGCGTTTCGAATGATTTACGATTTAATGAATACTTTATTAAATACAATGATAACACCAATAAGAAATCAATTAAGAAAGGATATACTGATAGATATAGAAAGAAAAACGTAGAATAAATTTACAAATTACTATGAAATATTTAAGTAGATCTATGCATGCATACCTGAATGTTTGAGGTGTAAATGACAAAAAAGAACATAAAAATAATAGATACTTTAAGGTTAAATTTGCCTGAGAGAGAGAGAGAGAGAGAGAGAGAGAAATATTTTTTTTTTAAATTAGTGATCAGAATACTTTAAAAAAAAGCAAATCAAAGCATAAATGTTTTATGACTTTTGCAAATGTTAACTAACAGTTCCATGGGAGCACGTAGAGCATCAAGTTTCATAATATTACTCTACGATGGTTTATCGACAGACAGGAATAACGCTGTAAATGAGGCTATGTTAATAAACTCTATTGGTGAACGTATCATCACTGCTGCTGTTGGCCAGTCTATATCATACTCAGAGTTGTTAGTGATTTCAGAGAAACAATATTACACATTCAGCACATCATTTTTGGATGATATGTTGAATTACATTTTAAAGGTAACTGTTCCAGATAATTGCACAGTCAGGTAGTACAGCTTTTAAATTCCAATATTATATGTAGTCAATCTATGATATGGTATTTATAAGTTTGCATTGTTTTACATACATATACGTCAAATGAATTATATTTCTTAATACGATCTCATTCACCTTGAAATACTAAGATAATTTAAATTTTTGACAAAATGTTTTTTGATACGACTATGCAGTAGGTAGAATTATTTTAACGTGCAGAAACAAAATAATACACAAAAAGGTCAACACACACATTTTTTTTTGCTATATTACAAGATCAGTACAGAAGCATTGATATCTGAGCTTGTGGTTCACATGGGCGTCCGTTCGTCTGTCCGTATGTCGATTCTTGTAAGCGCTCTCATGTGTACAATTCTTGACAATTTTTTATGAAATTTATTTCACAGGTTTATATCAGCAATGAAAAACTTCGAAAATCAGTACCAAACAGCATTTAAAAAGAGTTATGCTCTTGGAAATTTAATGTATGTGGAAAATTGCATTGTAAGCGCTCTCTCTACATTTTCGTGTAGAATTATAATGAAATTCATATCCAAGGTTGATAAAAGAGCTGTCTTGGACAATGTGACTAGTTCAAAAAGAGGCTCTGATCAAATATTTTTACATGAGCTATGTCCCTTGGAAATGTATACTCCCTAAAAATGGTACAAGTGTGCAATTCATGCCAGATATTTGTGAAATTTATATCATAGGTTTATATCAATATTCTTTCGGACGATTTCTTAAATCAGTGACGATCGATCAACTATTTTCAAAAGAGTTATGCCCTAAGAAATATACATTATGCAGAAAACTGCATTCTTAGAACTCTCACACCAACATTTCTTGTAGGATTATTATGAAATTCATATCAAAGGTTTATATTAGCAATCAGCTGATCAATTGTTTTTACAGGAAATGTAATTTATATTGAACATTGCATGATAAGCACTCTCACACCTACATTTCTCGTCGGATTATTTCAAAGGCTTAATTTAGAGAGGTCTTAAAAGAGGGTAGGCAAACCTCTTTTATAGGAAATAAAATGTGTATGGAAAATAATTTTGTTAGTGATCGCATGCCTTCATTTCTTGTAAGTTTTTTTTTTAAGTTAAAAAGATCCATATATTTTGTTTAAAGTTATTGCCCTTAAACAGAAGCAAACATGTGCAACGCGGAGACATTGGAATGAAAGTCTTTTTTCTTGAGGAGTTGCAAGATTTTTTTACTACCTCTGAATAATTTCGAAACTCAAAATGTACAATACTTAAGACTAAAATATCATTGAAATCATGCTAATAATAAAATAAAGCACTGATTGTTCTATAAGGACATACAGTTCCTTAGCAACAGATAAGAGTTGTAATATAAACGTATCATACTATTGCAGTGGTCACGACATGTATAATATATTTCATTAGGTATGCTCGCGGTTAACTATATGTAACAACGACAATTTGTTCAATTTTAACTTTTTACAACTTTATAAATTCGTTGATCAAATGATGCTATTATTAAATACCGCTTCACAATAAGTAAGCTCCAAATTCAAACATTTTTATCAGATGAGCTTCCAGAAAATGTCAAGATGGAGAAAAAAAATAAATGCACTGTTCATCTGATGTATTTATTATTTTTTCAACCCATACACTCCTTTTACAATGCAGTACTCGGTACCATACCTGTTCGTACACATTTCAAAATAAAAAATGTTTCGTTCTATTGTAATTCTGTGAACAACTAACTTTTGGTCCTGTTAAGAGATTGTTATCATTTGCACTATTTATCTGTGCTAAATATAATCTACTTGGAAGCGCATGTATATTTTCGACATTAAAAGTGTACAAAGGTAATCAATTCATGATCACTCACATCTCTAAGATTGAATGAAAGAAAAGCAGGATAAATGAGCAAAGGTTGGGTTCTCGAGACATCAATTACGTGGCCAGTAATAAGTATTATCAAGGAGGTTATATGAGAATACAACCTCCTTGGTATTATAAAGAAATGACCAGAACAACAAATTGTACCTGATATTTCTAAAATTTCAGTCTATTTTTTGGCAGCCGTGAATTTGACCTATTGACCTGTAAATCGATAAAGTTCTTTCCGTTCCCCATATCTAGATCTCCCATCTATATATTTTAAACAAACAAAGAAAACTCGAATGCGGAAACTATTTTTTTTTCTTCAAAAAATTCTTTTTCAAGTAACTTTGAACTTTGATATTTAATCCAAAATCTAAAAGCGTCTTTCTCTTTCCTATATCTTCAATCTGCATAGTTTTGGTTAACATAAATTGTCGAAATATATGCGCATCTGGTGCTGTAGATTTTGTACCGTTAATTGCATAGCATTGTTAGATTTATCAAACATGGGTGAATGGTAACCATCGTACATTTTACAGCATTATTGCAGAAAAATTGTCCAAAGTGAAATATTCCTTAATGAATAAATTCAGCAATAATTGTGCAATAACCACTTTAAAGTATGACAAAACTTACAAAAAGAACAAAGTCTATATCAATGTTTATAAAGATAAGTAAACCAAGGAGGTTGTATAACATTTTTGAAGCAACATTTCACTGTGAGAGAAATATACATTAGAATGTATTTAAACCTATATTACTCTTTAGGATACCCTTTGTTACGACTTTGATTAAAATCACGATGACTTAGTTTACGACGTTGAAATATTTCTAAGAATACATGAAATTGATAATGAAATGGCGAATCGTTAACAGTGAAGATCAGATGCAGTGCCTCCTGATTATGCTTTATTAATATTAATATTAATATATATTTTATTTATTTGTAGTTGATCGAATGAGAAAACCAGAAAACAGACTGAAGTTACTATGAGATTCACTGTAAATGCTTTTCTCCTCGGATCCCCCTTGCTTGATGTATATTTTGTCGCCTTTGTTAAGTTCTAATACCATATTTAAAGTTCCCGTATTATAACCAATTTGGCCAGGATAAACAGCTACTGTCTTTGCGTTATTTTTCCATAAGAAGACACGAAGGACCCCATTGCTTGATGTCATTACGGTGCATGAAAACTGGTACACTCCAGGTTTTGGGGCTGTGTATACGCCGGTAATTGGATCATAATGTTTTTGTACGTTCGTCCAAACTTTGTCAAACTTTACAAGTTCACCAACTCCTAAAGTTTTAGAAGCAGTTAAAGAAGCTGCAAAGGCCGAAAATTCCTCGTCATGATGATTCATACCTGTATAGAAATAAGAATAAAAATCGACATTTTAAAAGTACACAGGTAAAGATTGAATAAAAAAAGGCTTAGTTAATTAAAATTAAAAAATATGGAGAAAGAATGTACTACATTTAAGATAGAACATTAATTACATTAAATCATTTATTGGGTGTGTATATTTTTGTGATTGGGTCTTTATTTCATGTACTGTAGAAGGATAAAAGCACTGAAGAATATTTAATTTATTTTTGAATATATTATTATGTGCATGAGAAAACTATTTTCATTCGTATATATATATATAAAGGCCTAACAGATTAATCAAAACACTGTTAAAGAATTTTCACCCTCAAAATCGGATGTACACACAGATTTGATTTTAAATACATTTCTCGAGAGACGAACTTACAACCATGACTTAAAAATCAAATATGTGTGTACAGACCATTTGGAGGCTGGAAATTACTATCATGACTGATATTGTTCGATTAATCTTTTAGGACTATATAAATCATAATTTTGTTATCCTTGCATCTAAAGTAAATCTCCAAAGCTATAATGTGTAAGTTGTATGCATTTGTTAATACACGTTGCATGTATATATATATATATATTTTAAAGTTTTTCTGCAGTTGTTTACAATAGTGCATCAATAATTATATTTCACATTACCTTAAAACTTATACACAGCCTTACAGAAATATGAACAATGTTCTGTGATGAAATTATATGGAAAAATAAATGGAGAATGTGTAAATGGGACACAGATGATGCCCCAACTTGCATATAACGTTATAAAGGGGCATAACTCGAGAACGGTAAAAGTGACTCTACCCAAATTTGAACTTGATCTGTATTTTGTAATAATAAGCATTGTGTATAAGTTTCATTACATTTGGTTGATGCAAACTAAAGTTCAGAAACCAATTTTGGGACGTATGTACGGACGGACAAGGGTAACACTTAAAATCGTTTAATGCCCCCTCCGGTGACGTGGGGGGGGGGATACAAATATGAAATATTGTTACAATACTATTTTTATATATAAAAAAAATATTGTTTTGGCTAAGCCAAATATGTTGGAATATATCCCGATTTCCACAACTTAAAATTCGCAGATTGGTTGATTTAAAGATCCGAGTAAAGGGTCGCCACACAGAAGTTTCTTCCTTTTCCTCAAAAAGGTAATCCGTAAATAAAGCACACCGAGGAGGGAATAAACTACGTACATATTCCCTGCGGAATGTTCATAGATTAAAACAATTAATTTCTTTTAGTGAGGTAAATCTGTGGTTTAATATTTTACCTTTTGTAAAACTGATATTCACTCCGGCTTCAGTGTTCAAAAATCAACAAAACCATGTAATTACGTCATCAAAAGACAGATATATATACTTTTTGCACAAATCATGCATATTTAGGACTCTTAAATTGCCGAATTACACATTTCTTTTCTTTTCACGTTTGACAAACTATCAAATGTCATTGATATACACATCTTATCAAGTTCTGAATCAGATCTGAAATCTGAAAGTGTGAGAGCGATTTTTCAGTTCTATAGATGTAAAGATCGATATAAAATTGATATGGATGATATATAATCATTAAATCATGTTAGTATCAGATGCTTAATACACGCGTACGGTCGATTTTGTTGAATAATTTGATTGGATGATTTTTGTAAGTCCAGTGATAACTATTACTATGTGTATAACATGTGTTGTAAGTCCAGTGGCAATTATTACAATACTAAGTATATTCCACGCTTCAATCCCGATCGTGATATATTTTATTCCTATCAATCTATTTGAATTGTTCGTAACATGTCTAAACATGATTTAACTCGAGAGATCGATACTTCATTTGTTTAATTTAAATTATTCTTTTTACATAATTTAATTCTTATCTGGAAAGATAGGTTACTTTTACACGCAGGGTAACACATGTAGTATCGTAAAGTAATTAGAACATTTATAATCTTCATAGGTGAAATAAAGTAATAAAAATCTTTATCTGTTCGATTTGTAGATATAACACTTAAAGGATCATAAAAATGCAATCATCTTTTGCTATCTCCTTTATCGTATTTGTTGATTTTATCACTTTGATGCAGTCATGTGTGTATTGTAGTTCATTTGGTATTCATGAATTATAAACTTCGTATTTTTTTAGGTTTTTTTTGTTTTGATTTTTTTGGGGGTCCCTTCTTCTTCTCCTCTCCCCTCTTCTGTTCCGGTTATTTCGTCATTCTTTTTTATGACCTCATTACCTCTTGTTACATAAATCGGTACCGAGAAGGGCGTATGAAAACAACCAGTACACACTACAAATACTATGATTTGGTGGTATTACACCTTGAAACATGAAAACGTTGAACCAAAATAGGTCACAACTAATTATGTTATTTATTGATTAAAACATTACGCTTGAAGTCTTAATCATGTTAGTACAGAGCAGTGGACTACCAGTCATTAGCATGTCAGTCTTAAAAAGATGCACGAGGGATATCTTTGTAAAGGAACAATCCCTTCCGTCATAGTTGCTTTGGTAATCGTCCTCTTTCTACTATTGCAAATTGTGATAAATTGATTTATATCACTGTTTTCCTAACGTCAATTGGCAAATATGTTATGCATATTGGGCACAAAAATAATTTTTAAAATAACCCATAAAATATATGGTGAAAACGGATGCCCCTTACGTATTTTAAATGTATGATTTAAATTATATACCATTCATGGTATAGCTGAGGTGTACTCATGACTGGTTTTTTTTTTACCTTTTTTAATCTCGTTTAATTCTTCACGTAAGGCATTTTCGTCTGCTCTAATTTGGTCTATTTCTTCCCTGCGGGCTTTGTCTTTTTCTATCATTTCTTTACGAAGTAAATTAATTTGCTCTCTCGTCGATTCTAATTCTACTTTCACTTGCTTAAGTGCATTTCTAGTCGATTCCAATTCTACTTTCAGTTGTTTAAGTTCCTTTCTCGTCAATTCCAATTCTACATACACTTGTTTAAGTTCCTTTCTCATCGATTCCAATTCTACATGTACTTGTTTAAGTTCCTTTCTCGTCGATTCCAATTCTACTTTCACTTCCTTAAGTGCTGTTCTGGTCGATTCTAATTCTTCTCTCACTTTCTTTATTTCATTTCTGTGTTTAAGAAACTCGTCTTTTATTTGGATTGTTCTTTGTACTGCAGTGTTTACATAAAATGCACCAAGCAAAATAAATACAGACAGAAGCAAAACAACTAAATAATTCTCCATTACTGTTATGTTTCAAATTATTAGTAAAATTCACGGGTGACTGACGTTGTTTAAATATCGTTTGCACAAAGAAGTTTAAAGTCCATGAGGGTCTGGCTGGGTTGGTCTTCAGTTCTGTATTCTTTAATTTGTTAGCAATTGTTTCTCTTTTCTTTATTTTCCCCATTATTCTCTATTTTTTTATGTTTAAACATCCATTATTCTCTTTTCCGATAACGATTCAACCGTTAGTTACATAACTGGAGAATTCCCTCATGCCAATCATGAGGATCTCCGAAATACTATGACACAGACACCAGGTCATGCTAGAACCCAGACCGAACCTGACATGAATGATTCACCAAGAACAATACATACACAGACAAGTGGACTAGCTAGAAATATGTCCATGCAGACATCTCGCATGTCCATTGCACCAGGACGGTCCACTGGATCTCGTGGCAGTGTAAGCCGCGGCGGTAGCTGGTAGTTTTGTAATCGTTGTATTCTATCACTGATGGCATTAATGTCATCCTGTGTCACCATACTCCCTGGATACTGAGGAAATCCATTCATCTGTGGCTGAGGATTGGGTGGCACAGGTAATGATCTCATGTATGGTTGTCATATCCATTTTGTTCAGGTATACCGTTCTGTACTGGTCCATTGGCGGCTGGTCCAGGTGTAGAAAATCGAACGGGGGATGGTCGATTTTGTACACTTGACAAAGGTCGCCCTTCATATGGTGTACCAGTACGAGAACTCTGCCTAGATCCCAAGTCATTTGGACTATCAGGGCTACCTCCCTTTAAGTTCTTAACGTCATCCATTAAGTCACGGAGACGTCCATGACGAGAGTTACGGACAGAGTCACCTTCTGGGAACAATTTTATTCCAGTTTGAGTTCCTTGTTCAGAAATAGTCTGTGTTCCAGCAGTTCCTTGTCTGCCCTCATTTTAAAGAGCTTGAAGATCAGACTGAATTGTTTGCAACATGTTTTTCTTGACAGATGTATTAGATATCATTGAATCATCTGTAATCCTGGACTATCATTTATCATCTATTCTTTATTTTTTGTATACCCATTTTTCTTTAATTTTTAATCCATTACTCTTCAAGTTTATTCTGACATCCATACCTTTACGTGGTATGAAAAATATACCTCAAGTATGCGATAAGATTAGCCGCCCTATAAATATCAGGGTTCAAAAGCATGAGAACTGTTTTTTTTTAAATCAACTTTATAAACTTTTTACGTCATGATATAAAAATTCGCTAATTTTTAACTCCAACGTATCTAACAAAATGTAATCACGCCAGAATCACATCTAACATTAACTCTAAAAATAGAAACAAACTATATTTTCACTTTCTATTAAAAGGAACCAATCATTTTTCAAGAAATTTAGAACCGTTTGACAGCTAATTGGAAAAAGACGAACCTCCCCTGAAAAAGAGAATTCTGCTGAAAAAATAGGTAATTTTAAATTTTAACAAACAATCTGTATTCCTATGTGAACCAATTGTGCTTCTCTTCTTGTCGTATTGTTCCTTCATTCATATGAGACAGACCTCAAACTGGAGCTCCTTAGGAAGAATGAACAAAAATAGCGTTATCCTTTAACTTTAACGTTCCGCTGATAATTTCCGCTTCATAAATAGTTCAAAGTTTGGTGACTATGTTAAACGCATCTACCACATTGAACTTGAAATAAAGGGTGACACAGATACAGTTAAGTCTGTCTCATTTCTTGACTTACATCTAGAAATTGACAATGAAGGTCGGTGGAGAACAAAACTTTACGAAAAAAGTAATGTTTTCAGCTTTCAAATTATGAACCTGACATTTCTATGTAACATCATTCCAACAACGTCTGCATATGATTTATATATGTCCAAGTCGTCCAGATCCAGATGGAATTATCCTAGTGAAAAAGTTAAAGTTATTCCTTCTAAAATTTTACGGACACTTTCACGAGTTGGTTGACCGTTATAGAACGTCTTTATGTTCTTTTTCTGTGTCAAATACATTTTCTTTAATCAAAGAATTGTTTGTTAAAGTTAAAGGCCTGTACCAAGTCAGTAATATGACAGTTGTTGTCCATTCGTTTGATGTGTTTGTGCTTTTGATTTTGCCATTTGATTAGGGACTTTCCGTTTCGAATTTTCCTCGGAGTTCAGTATTTTTTGTGATTTAACCTTTTTCTAGAAGATATCTTATCTGAAGTTAAAGAAGATCTATAAAACTGTTGTAAAAGAAAAATAAGATATCTAGGGGACTTTCGAAAAGGTCCAATTAAAACAGCAAACACCATGGCTACAAATAAAAATTACCAAAAGACAAACTTCATTAACAAAACACTGCAGCACAGAAAACTACAGACTGAGTAACACGAACACAATTCAAAAACTTAGGTGCCCCGAAAGGGTAAGCAGTTCGGCTCCAAATTCCATGCAAATACGAATTCGGTGATAAGCCGCTATCTTACAATCGAGGTAAAGAGGATGGTTGTTACGACACGTTGAACATATCTGTAATCATCTGTGACACAAGATTTTCAAAGCAGTCAACCAAATCATGATTACGTTCCTAAAACTTTGGAAGGGATGACTTAAACTTTATCACTTGGAACCCTTGATGAAATATCTTCCATGTAAGTTGTATCAAGGAAATCATGATAGACACACAAGCTCTGGACCGTATCAACCCGAAGATATCTACTCCATATAGAGGCGCTTTTGGAATGATGCTACACAGAAATGGGAAGTTCACAATAGGAAAATTAAAATCATCTGTTTAGTCATAATTTTTTAGTTTTTAATCGAACTTCGTTGTCAATTTAAAGATATAAGTCATGAAATGAGGTACACGTATCTGTATTTCTGGCATCCTTTATTCTAAATTCATTGTGATAGATGGAGTCACCAAAAAACTTTAATTAATCAGCCTACGAACGGGTTTACAGAAAAGAGAAAAATGCGTCAATTAAAAAAATAAAAAATTGAGAAGTACGGGGTGCAAAATAGATATATTGGCATAAATAAAGAACTGCATCAGTATAGTGGGAAGTTAAGTTATAGGATAATGCCAGCTTCTTTTTATTTTTCTAAAGAAGGCCTCCAAGAATAACGGTACAACTTGGTAGGCAGAGGGGAACAGTAGTTTCCATAGGGATGCCGATTGCATGTTGAAAAATACGCCCTCCAACCGTACAAAAATATGATGTCAATAAAAAAAAATTCAGTTAGATTTGTAGTGAACTTTTAGCTCGAATCAGAGTGGTTTTGTACAAGGTATGGTTTGTCTTTGCATGAAAAAAAGATACTTGTATCTGCGTTGGCCATTCTGTTGTAACATGCTTGAACTATTTCTTTCAAACTGTCTTTCAGTTTAGAATGAGGAACACTAGGGTAAAGTCGAAATCTGCGCAGCCGCCTTTAAAGAATATATTGATGACTCTGGTGACAAGTTGTCAACACAGGACAAAGAATATGTATCCAAAGATTCATTCAAATGGTTGGATAATAATTCTCTGGCAGAGAAAGAGGAATATGAGGAAAAAAAGGACGAACTAAAGAAAATATGTACCCATGTCATGAAAAAACGTTTTGGATGTAATACATGGTGAAAACTCAGGGACATTGTCTAGTGCGCATGCCATATAACCTATAACGCTCAATCACAATTTTTATATGAAATATATAGTGATAACTGTAGAAAATGTTGAATTGGAGCCACGATTAAAATTTTACAATAGTATTACACTTATACTCAAAAAGAAAAAAATATTCTCTTTTCGGTGGTCAAACTTTCTTTATTCTCAAGTGCATAGAAATTGCTTCTTTCTTCAATAAAGTTGTATACCCTACTGCCAACGCAATTCAATGGAGAAAAAGCGCAAAACGCATGGAGTTGGAACTTTGCATTAGCAATTAGATTTTTATTTAAATATTTGAAACTGCTTATAGTATATTCATGATCATGAATGCTCATGGACTAAGAATATGTAAAAACAAAGATTTTCGAGCAGAGAAAATTGCTTTCATTTTGATTTGAAATTGAAGAAAATCCTATTTTGCGGGTCATGTTTCGGCAAACCTGAAAAATCTCACAATTTTAGATTTCAAATTAGTTATTCATGAGCAAAGGAAATAATCCCTAATATATTTTAACTGCTGAAACAAGGGACTCGTACTTATCATGGGCTCATGCTGTACCTGTTTAACGATTTATCGATTTAGAAAAACACTTCAAATATTATTTAAAATACTTTTTTGTTAAACAAGTACTTTGACCCTTTTCTTCTGGGTATACAATTAATTTCGGTAACAATTTGTTGCTTTTGAAACAAATCTTCATTTCAAAATTATTTATTTGATTAAGAGATAATATAAATCAACTCAAGATATATCTTATTTTCCAAAATCAGTTTACGTCATTCCAGATTTATAAAAAAAGATGTTTAACGGAAAAGGAGATGGATAACCATCACAAATAACTATTTCATCTATGTTAAAGAATGAAAATTAGGAGCACGAACATTTATTTCCAATTGAAACAAACATTGTTTAGATTATTTCAGACACGTGATGTGCGAACGGACTCATATCATACATTTCTTACTACAATAGGATCAGTTCCGCTACTGGCTGACTATCATTCAACGAAGGAACCATCAACCGAATAGCCTTTGCTTCCGTATTAGCATGATGTCACTACGCCATTACCAGTTGGTTGCCTGTTATGGAACATCGGTTTCATATATGACGACGAATATGTTCTAGTTGTCGTAACCACAGTTACGTCCTCTTTTCTTCGAAAGTGACATACAGAATTAGACTTATCACCTAATTCGTACTTACATGAGCTGCATGACGGGTGCCAAATGTGGAACAGGATCTGCTTACCCTTCCTGAGCATCTGAGATCACACTCGGTTTTTGGTGGGGTTAGTTTTGCACAGTTTTTAATTTTCTATGTTGTGTTTTGTAAACTGCTGTTTTTCTTTTTGTCGTTTTGTGTTTTTTCCCATGTAATTGTCAGTTTGTTTTCAATAATATTAACGGTACAAATCTTAAAGTTATGAGTTTGAATATCCCTTTGATATCTTCCGTCCCTCTTTTAAATGGAACAGTTTGTGTAAAACGTTTTACTTCTAAGAATTGAGTTTGTAGCTTTAAACTGATAGTTTTGTTGATTTTTATGCTTTCAAACATTTCATATTTGGGTGTTCTAAAGTAATAGTCGTGGTATACCTGGTATAATTCCAGTAACACGTGTTCTGTGCATAAAACGACATAAACGGTACCAATTTTACTGCATCAGTAGAGCATTTCGACAATTATTGTCCGAGGCCGAAATATTTGAAAATCCAAAACCTAATTCACACTTTAAGGAACTGATATAAAGGAAATGCATCACAATTTTTACATAAAACCCGATTAAGGAATCAGAGCAATGCACGATGAAAATAGATTCTTTACTTAAATATGAATTTCTGAGATTAATAACAGCAAATTCCAATAAAACAATATCCGGATTTTCATGCCATTTCCGTAATACACAGTTATTTACCCAGTGCTAGTTATTATATCTAATACTAATATATATATTTATATACAAGAAGTCCAACATATTTTTACGACAGATTATGATGAATGCCAGCCAAATCCCTGTATGAATACTGGATCATGCAATAACTTAATTAACAGCTTCAGTTGTGATTGTACAGGTAGATACGAAGGTGATGTCTGTCAAACAGGTGACTATTGTTGTTTTTATTATCAAAAACAAAACCTTAAAGCAACTGCAACTTTTTTTTACTTTTACTTTTTTCTTAGGGTTACCTTCTATTTCATATTTTTTAAAAACTATGAAAGACTTTCGGTATAAACTTATTACTAATTAAAGAAAGGAGACACTAACAAGAACATAAGAAACCGTAAGTCGTAGACACACAGACAACACCATAGTCAAAACGTGCTTATTACCGAGTCAATTAAAATCTGGTGGGTAGTTGTCTCATTTGCAAGCATACCGCATTCTCTTATTTTTATAAAGGAAAGCCGTTTATCATTTTATTATGCATTAAACTATACATATTCACAATCAAATGCGCAGAGAATGTATATTTTAAAACTTTGACACCATACTTATACATCAGAGATATGAGAACATTGTTTCAAGTTTCTTAGTTGTGGTTTTCTGCAGATTGTAGACCTGGACCGGCAGATATAGTATTCATTTTTGACACGTCTTCTAGTTTAGTGACAAATGTCAACAAAAGTTTAGATTTCATTACTGAACTTATCAATAGAATACTGATTGGTCCAGATGACTTTCAAGTGTGTGTAATCACACACGATTTTGAAACTAATGTCTTTTTCGATCTTGATGATCACAATACTGCATCTGGTATGATTGCCGAACTCCAGCATATTAAAGGGGAAGATGCCACCACATATACATTACCAGCATTACAGAAAGCAAAGGAGGTAAACATATAAATTATCTAATAACTGTTAATCTGTGATCATGTCTGGAAAAAGAAGTAGAGGATACTAAGGAAGCAATCAAAAGCCATAAGTCGAACATATTCGCTAGCAAGGGTTACGATCTAGTCCCCACCTTTCCATTGGTAGCAGTTGTAACTGGCTGCATCTAATCAAAAAGCGTCTTTAAGGTGATCAATTTCGTTTATGTAAGACTTTTCAGTAAGTCTCTAATCAAAGCAGGTTACAGGCAAAACTAATTACAAATTTGAAGAATACTTGAAAACTAAACATTTCTATGTCAACTTTATTTCTAAAGTTCGGCCATTTCTGTCATGCAATGGCAGAAGAAAAACAATTGCGTTTCGAATGATTTACGATTAAATGAACACTATATTAAATACAAAGACAACATCTATCAGAAATCAATTCAGAAAGAATATACTGATAGATAAAAAGAAAGCACTAGGAAACCTTTTTTGATCTGAAACGGTCATTTATATCTGAACAGCTCTTAAAAACTGAGCAATAAATCATTACGTCATTTTCAGTATTTGGTCAATTTTGAGACTTATGCACTGCGGTAAATTCAGTACTGTTCAGACATTTCGCTTGCAGTCAATTAAGATCTGTTCAGTCTCTGTTCAGAGTGTTCAGTAGCTGCTATTCACCTGTACACATCAATATCATACTGATTTTAAAAAAATTTACTGAACAGTACTGAATTGACTGCAAGCGAATTGTCTGAACAGTACTGAATTTATCGCAGTGGGTAAGTCCTAAAACATACTGAAAAACAGAACATGTCTTAATGATTTATTGTTCAGACTTTAGATCCTGTTAAGATCAAAATAACCGTTTCAGACTTAAATGTATTTTCTAGTGAAGAAAAACGTAAAATGAATTTACAAATTAGCTGACTATGAAATTTTTAGAAGATCGATGCATGCATACCTGAATGCTTGAGGAGTAAATGACCAAAAAGAACATAAAAATAAAATAATATCCTTTAAGGTTAAATTTGAGAGAGAGAGAGAGAGAGAGAGAGAGAGAGAGAGAGAGAGAGAGAGAGAGAAAATATTTTAAATGTTGTTTTTTTTTTAAAAAGGGATCAAAATACTTTAAAAAAAAGCAAATCAAAACAAAAATGTTCTATGACTTTTGCAGATGATAACTTACAGTTCCATGGGAGCACGTAGAACATCTAGTTACATAATATTACTCTACGATGGTTTGTCAACTGACAGGAATAACGCTGTAAATGAGGCTATGTTAATAAGCTCTATTGGTGGACGTATCATCACTGCTGCTGTTGGCCAATCTATATCATACTCAGAGTTGTTATTGATTTCAGAGAAACTATATTTCACATTCAGCACATCTTTTTTTGGATGATATGTTGAATTACATATTAAAGGAAACTGTTCCAAATAATTGCACAGGTAGTACAGCTTTGAAATTCCAATTTTATATGTAGTCAATCTATGATATGGTATATACGTTTGCCTCTTTTTACTTAGCTTATATGTCAAATGATTTATGTTTTTTAATATAATCTTATTCACCTTGAAATAGTAAGAAAAGTTATATTATTAACAAAATAATATTTTGAAGGACTATGCAGTAGGCAGAATTATTTGAATAAAAAGTAACAAAAATAAACAAAAAGGTCAACACACGCATCGTTCATGCTGTATAACACTGTATTTGTAAAATAGCTTAGTTTGCAAGATAGAATAACAATTTCTTCAGTTAACAAATAAGATGTTTGTAAATCAAATTTCTCTAAGATTTTCTAAAAGTAAAATTACCGTATAAGGTACAAGATGGTGCGATACATAAAAAAGAACTAAACTTCTTTGATCTTTTTTCGTATTTGCCTGTTCATGGCGCTAACTTGTCTTTCAGCCTTTGATTTAAGGTTTCTGATTCTATCAATACTATCAATAGTTATCACCTACTCTTCATTATTTCTCCCTTAATGACCTTCGAACTTTAAGGCACAGGCCGTTGGGTATGCAGTGTGCCATCAATTGTTGTAATATATGTTTTTGCAAATTCCACATGGGACTCGATTTTCGCGTCTCTCTCGCCACATACGGACTTTACTGACCCCGATATATCGTATCAGATCACTAGCACACTGTGCAACTAATAATATCTCTCAGTTGATACAATATTCAGGAGCTTGTTTTTTTCTATCATGATTTTCTTGATAGAGGGTTACTGCTTACAAAGAAGCTATAAAAATCTGAAAGTTGTAGTCATCTTCTCAAAAGTATTACGGACATCATCATGAGTTGTTTAAAAGTCAAAGAATATCTTTGTCACAGATTACCCCTGATATGTTGCACATTTAATGATTTTTTTTTCTATAAAGATCATTTGACCCTGTTAATGTTTTGTTTTATGTGCATAGAAACACAACAAATCTTATTTCTTGAAAATTTTAACAACGTCTTTAATATTTACAGACTGTTCTATGGTAACAGGATCAGAGGTCATTCTCCTGTTAGATACAAGCAAGAACCAAACAAATGAAGATTATTACCAGCGTCTAACAACGATTCGACGAACAATAGAAAACGTATTAACTTACAATCCAAATGCAGATATCGGCATGTTTTCATATTCGGACGAGGTAGAACAAGTTTTTAATTTATCGTGGTCATCTAATATCGATGAATTGATTGCCGCTGCATTGCAGGTCAAGGTTGATAAATTGAATACGACTTCAAACCTAAGCCATGCACTACATTATATACGAGAAGGCAACTTATTTAAATCATCACGGAAACTTATTGTGTTATTCTCTAGCGCAAATTGGAATAATGTAGATGAAATAGACACGGAAGTTAAATTATCAAAACAACAAGACATCCGTACTTTTGGTGTAGCAGCAGGCGAGGATTGTAACGTGGATAATCTTGCCGGAGTTTTAAATGATCCTAGTTATATATTTGATGTTGAAGATGACGACTACACGTCCTTGGAGTCGCTTGCAGCAATAACAAAATATTATAATTGCACTGATAACATTTTTATCAAGCGACAGTAAACAGTCAGATCGTAATAGGCAGATTACATTTTGTGTCATTTCTTGTACCGAAATTTTGTATCAATTGTTACGTTTCAGAGACTTATATTGTAGTTGTGAGTTTATTATATTCAAGTTTTGAACAGTTCATTTTTCTTGGCGTGTTAACTTATATTCATTCTGTTTTATTTTAGAAACATTGCCTAAATATTCATATATGCATACATTGTCAGTGTTTATGGGGTAAATTTACACTTTGTCTGTCCAATGAGACAGCAACCCAACGACAAAAATAAGTAAAAGACACCTAGAGTATTACATACATTCTTCAACAATAGACAGTTTTATATACAATATGTCAAGCTCTTAATCGGTATATTTTAAAAGTGTGAGTAATACGTACAATCAATGTACAGCAACATTAAATATAAGGACGCACTTTCGTCAAAGCAATACCTTTTTCGGCAATACAAATTTTCATCAATAAACCTGAAAACTGTTTATAAATGTATGTACATAAAATTGGTCAATGAAAAACTCATATATTTTTATATTCCAAAAGCATACTTACTAAATAAATACAGAGGAGCCCAACCTAGTTTATTGTAAACAAATGTGAACATCTTTTTATATACTACCCCTTAGCCGATACCACTTCTATTGATTATCGGTCCCAGAGGTTAACATCCGCCAATCAGCAAGTGTTTCGGATCTGCCCTCAGTTTAATAATGAATTTCAATTGTGAACTCAATTTTGGCATTTGCATTAAAAATTGTATATCCGTTCGTCATAGTTTTTCTCCTAGTGCAATGGTTTCAAACTGTTCAATTAACCATTTTTATGACAATTACTCCTCGTATCAAACCAAAAGACAAATAAATCCAACTTAGTTCATTTAAACAAGAATGGTCATTGTAGAAACAAATATCTTGATGAAGGCATGGACAAATAAAATATTGTAAGAAAAGAGTCCTAACGTGTGTAAAACGTATATTTTATATAAATATACGGCTAGCGGGTGAAGGTGAATTCTGTGACAGTTAAGAGGTCGAGTTTTCATTATGACATTTAACTGTCAGTCAGCCCATTGCAGACATTGTTTCTGGTTTAATATGTCGGTTTGGATATTTTTACGTAAAAATTATGTTTTCAGGACAAAGTTAATGCTAGCAACAAAATTTATATCTGTAGTTGTGATTTCTTTTCTATGTGTAGAAACGTAAATAATATATACATGAATGTTTGATGTCAGGCCTTTTATAGCTGACAAAACGGTATGGGTTTTTCTCATTGGTCATTGTTGAAGGCCGTACGATGATCTATACTTGCTAACATCCACGTCCTTTGAACTCTGGTTTTGACTGCCATTGGAAAACGGGTCGTTATGATTGACTTGTCATAACCACAATTGCGTGTTGTGTCTCAATTGTGTTTAGGTTAAAGTTCTACTTTAACTTACAACGAGGGTGCTACTAGCGGAGCAGGAACTGCTTATCATTCCAGGCACCGAAACTGGCCCTTAATTTTGATTTTTTACTGTTTGTTTTCCTTTTGTATTCAGTTGTATTTTATTTTATTTTTCATAATCTGTGTCTACAGATGACAGTCTTACCTACGAAGTATTTGTTTGTTTATAAAAACGATGTGTACATTGCATACTTTCACATTATGTCAAATTTTAGGGTAAGAGAATTTACATGACTGAAGGTTTATGAATTTGGTGATTTCTCGTGGTTAAATAAGAGACCTTTACCTATCCGCTATTGTGTGATGCCTTATCAAAGCATATGATTCTTCAATGTTATTTATGAGGAGTAACATGAAAGGTGTCACATTAGAGAATGAACTGGTGACCCTTTTGGTATAACTGAGTCTATCCCCGGTTTTTGGCGGGGTTTGTGTTTTATGTCTCTTGTTTTATGGAAATGTTTGTCTTTTCTTTTTTCCTTTTGTCATGGTGTTGTCTATTCAATTCGACTTTTGCTTTTTATTGTCCCCTCTTTTAATAAGCTCTTACAGAAAAAAAAACTTTCGGTGTTTTCCGCTCTCATTTCTCGTTACTTTTACTTAGGGGCATACGATACAGTTACAGGGGAAATAATGACGTTGCTAACGAAAAATGTTATTTTTCGCGACGTCAAACTGCGAGATATCTGGAAAAGATGCATTTTTCGAGGGATTTTAATCATCAGCTTGAAAACGAGTACATGGACCCCTCTTTTATAAAAATACATGTAGCATTTGACTTGATACTTATGAAGATTCTTTGTTCTGATTTTTAGAGAGGAAATCATCGATGAAATTTGCTTAAATTAGATAAATATACAGCAATAAATCACATTTTTTTCTAAAATCATGAAAATTTAATATAAAGGAATTATTTATAAAGAATTGTTACACAAATTAAGAGACTACTTTTGTAAAGAAGCTATTCCAAATCTTTTTACAAAAATCCATATGTATTTATCCTTTGAAACAAAAAAGTTCAGTATGTCTGTCCAAAGGATAGAAATGTCCAAGAAACCGAAATTTTAAGTAAATGTCAAATATTTCGAGCCCATTCATCTCTAAATTTAGCACAGGGAGGTATATTTTTTATTACATATTTGAATTGACTAGGTCAAATATAGCTTGTATGCAAATTTCGTAAAAAAACCACCCTGGGATCAAAACTGTATCGTATGCCCTTAACGTCACGAATCGAAAAAGACTTTAAAATGCGTATGTATACATAAACACAACACTTTATATTATTTTATATAGATAACAAGTGTGGACACAGATCAGTGTGGATAGTATGATTGGATGTTTGACAGTGTTTTATATGACAAAAGGAGTTCTATGTTTTATGTTTTCTATGTATTAACTGTGTTGCACAATGACAACCAACATGAGCATTAGGGGTGTTGTTTATAAATTTTGGTCTTTTTCTTAACATACTGAATGACCATTTACACTCAGGACTGAGTCGCCAGTAAGCAGTACAGATGTAAAAAAATAAAGTGTAACAAAATAACCTAGCATCATATTGCTAGTAGCGCCAGTAGCATTGTTTGGTGAATTTGTGCTTTTTTTTTTTAGTTTGGCTAATGGACAAAAAATGTTTGGTTCAAATCTAAATAAAATGCTTTTATCTCCCTATTACTTACATTGTACATAGAATGGATACTACTTTGACAATTCCTTGTACATGAGAGTTGTCTTTCAAATCTTTATTTCACAAAGAATGAATTGCATAACAATGAACTGAGCTCAAAGCAAAGCACTTTAATAATACACTTAGACAATGAGCTCAATCCAGTGATATACTTTGTACTACAGGTCCTTCATGAACATCCTACTGGCCAAAACCATATCTCACAAACATGCCATACTACATGGTTGGATCAGAAGTCCTGAAAAAGACATGAACTTTATTAACATATTTTAAGTATATACACCAGTTAAAACTTTCACAAATTTGTGGTAAAATCATTCAGTATCTAGCAACTATCGATCGCTTCATGTACAAATTAATAGATGGTTGAGTACCCCTCTGTCAGAAATAAGAACATACCTCCACCTAATTTTAGTTAACTGATGAAGAAACATTCAAAACTATAAAATGTTATCTAACAGACTAGCTGCAATGAAATCCCAGTTTTCTAAAATGGTAGGTGGAACCTAAAACTTAAAAGATTTTAAACTATGCATTTTAAATATTGCAAATATACATGCAATAATAATTCTTCTCAAAAATTCGCTAAATTTTTCCTTATTTTGTCTTTTGTTTGAGACTGTATATTGACCTCTAGATGCCTTTCAATTACACCCAGTTTGGCATGGGTTGATGTTTGATTGTTATATATCGACGTGGGATTTGTTTACATAAATTAGGCGTGAAATAATTTTGGTTTACTGAAATCCTTTAACTTACCTCCAAATTAATGTTAATACTGAGGGAAAAAATTACATTGCTAAATAACCACTTTAAAACACATGCAAACTTTTTGAGAGGAAGTCATAATGCATGTAACATCTATTAGATCCTTTTTTAAACCATTCTAAACTACTGATAAGTGATAAAGTTTGTTAACTGTTACTTACCTTCAAAAAGGGGGTTGCATTCACTTTACTACATATACATATAAATATAATCAACAATACTGAGTGCAACACCTAGGATAAATAGAGGATTGTTTTGTAGGAATAGTTGCTGAAATAAGCAGGCAATATTCAAAGTAGAATAAAAAATATTACAGGACTGTGTTTTAAAGTAATAAGCATTGTGCTTACGTTACCATGCTACTGGGGCGACAAAGTCGCTTTCCCGGTCGCCACTTCGCTTTGACCGACCTTCAAAAGCGAAATCTATTCACAACAGTTTCATGCAAATTGGTGAAAGTGTTGAAGAGTTAGTGAACAAAGCATTTTTAGAGTTAATGGGCGTTTACATGAAAATCCCCCTTTTTTAATGAATAAAACCTCACATTTTGAAAATATATATTATAAAATTCCTAAAAATCTAAAAGGGAGCTCACGTCAGTAGATATAATCAATTCACCAGAAAATATTACTGAGTTAGTGAACAACATGCTAGAAACAGACAGATCAGGGCAGACAGACGGACAAAGGCATACCATAATATTTCTCATGAACATGCGTATGAAAACTGCAGGGTACCATTCCAGGCCAACACCCTCTGAAGGAAACACTATAAGGGAGCTTCCTTTCCATTTTTATGGGGGAAAAAGGGGGGGGGGGGGGCTAGGATGAAAAATTTTGACCTGAATATTTTTTTAAGTTCGAGATGTAATCTGTCCTGCCTTTTTTTCTATTAGTTTATCCCGACTTGTTTTTACATAAATTGTCATCCTGCCTTTTTTTCATATTGTCTCATCCTGCCTTTTTTCAAATTTCATCCAAGAACCCCCCCCCCCCCCCCTAAAAATCAAATAGTGGCTCCCTAAGTTAGCAAACAAATTATTTTATTTTTACATTGACAAACCTGTATAACCTTGAAGCAGTATTAAGTTCATGTATTATCCCCCATATTATAACATGTACATTGAACTAAAACAAATTGTGGTCATTGTCAAAATTATAATTTACGGTTTACTTTTCCAATGCTTTCAATTTAAGATTAGGGCATTTTTGTCATTGGAAATGAGTTTTGTAGTCCGAGATTACTCTAACCTCCAACGACTGTTTTGCGACACCAGCTAGGGCAGTGGGACTTCAGCTGGTCCCATATCAGATAGATGATATTTGCCCGTCCAAAGTGGATGTGCTGCTTCGTTGCTTCTGTAGGCGACTGGATCCATATAAATCAAGCCTCAATTTATTCATTTTTCTCTTCATTTAAGTAAGTTTGATCAACCTGCCACCCATTATCTTCTCATATTTGGACAGTTTTCACATTGACCCATCAATACTGGCATTTTAGAGGGTATGAATGCCCTTTACCGTCAGGCGTCAAACGATCAATTAGGCTACTGTTAGCGTCAAATATGTTAACATTTTACCGTGATTCAAAAACATATCCTTATCGTGATTCGTCAGAGGTCTCAAATAATTATTGTTACCGTTATTTTTTGGGAAAAAATTAACGTGATTCATCAAAATCTGTCGATTTTTTTATCGTCTTGAAGAAAGTCTTCATTTTATCGTCATGCACCAAAAATTACCGTTAACGTCATTTGGCAAGATTTTTTACCGTTATTCGTCATGAAGGTACCCCCATTACAACCCTCATTTTAACTTACACTTGATAAGAATGTCACATGACCAACATTATGGGATCAAGGGAAGCAAAAGCTCTTTAAATTATGCATGTTTCAAAAATTGGGGAAAAATTACACAGAGAGTTGAGTCATTTTTTTCAGACTTAATTTAAATAATGACTAATGTAGACTTGCCTTCTAATTCTATAAAAAAAAATTCACAACTACTGAACAGGAACAATCATGGTACTTTTTTGTCTATGAAACTACACAATGACATCTGATCTGCAAAACCTACAAACAGACACAGAAATATCATCAAATAGTGAAATATAAGATTGATTGCACCTTGTATGGATAGTTCCGACACGTGTTACATGGGGAGCCCGTTTGTTTACAAATAATAATGTCACGTGATCACGCACTGACCGTCACAAATTTTTATCCTCCGCCATTATTCTTATTTACTGTACTTACACAATTCACAAATGCATAACCCATTTATCTTGCGGACATGCAATGGGAATGTGCACGGTTATCAAAAACTACAAAAATATTGCATGTACAGTTAATGAAGAAGTTATTTCATCAAATAGATAAGATTTTCGCTCATGACACAAATCGACTGGGTGTCATCGCCATCGGCATCGGGGATAATTGATAAATGGGATTAAATTGACCGCCAAGAAGGTGTAGAGAACCACCTCTGGAGAACCTTTACATTAATAAGTAATACTCACCAAAATTTCTCTATAATTAACGCCATTTTCTGTTGGAAAATTTCAGAAAGATGCTGATAAACTTATTTTGTGACACAGATTATTTTCTTGTTTTGACGCGAAATATATTCTTACTCTTAATGTTTGACGTAACAAAATTTGTATAGAATTATATTTAACTAAAGCTCAGCGTAAATATGCAGAAGCATGACAATACATTAATGATAAAATGTGTAAATATTTCTGTAAAAGAATATAATTTTACTTTACCAGTATACTTCACTTAGAATTACATTTGAGCGCAAGAAAATTTCTATGTGAATCGGCTGAAGGTTACCTCGGCTGAATCCCGGGGTCGAAGTTCAACATATCAACGGAAATTTTTGCGTGTGCTTGCGTTGCTTTAGATCGAGGCCACAGCTTTTCAACCAATCGGGGAATGTTTACTTGGGGCATACATCTATTTTTACTGCAGGTTTCGACATGTTTAAATCGGGATTATAGAAAAATGGAATGTTGTTGGTAGATACAAAACAGAAAATGATGAACACTTTTAGCAAAAGATAAATTGGATCGGGGGTCTGTGAATTCACATTATTTGTACAACTCTCCTTACTCTTGGGAAGCGTGTGCTTTACATCGAGGCTTGCGTTGCTTTACATCGAGGCTTGCGTTGCTTTACATCGACGCCATAGTAGTTTAACCAATCGGGGAATGTTTATTTGGGGCATACATCTATTTTTACTGCAGGTTTTGGCATATTTTAATCGAAATTAGAGAAAAATGGAATGATGTTAGGAGATATAAAACAGAAAATGATAAATATTTTTAGCAAAAGATGAATTGGATCGGGGTTCTGTGTATTCACATTATTTGTACAACTCTCCTTACTGATGGCAAAAAATGGAATTTCCGTGACCTAAATGGTTCGCGAAAATTAATATTTTTATATATATATATAGTAAATAGACTTTTCAAAAAGAAAGAAATTATTTGCTATAACAGAAAATCCACACTAACAACAATTATATCATAGCACCTTAAAAAGCCAATGACCAGATCGAATGTTAATTAATTGGAGGATACTGGTAACAACTAGTATGACTGGTTGAATCTTAATCCAAATTACAGTTATGAGGTATCATGAAAAATAATATCATTGTATCATCATTTAAATTATTTACATAAATTTAATATTTAAAATTTAAATATCTACACTAAGTGAATTGTAAGTTATAATAGTTAATGACATCCAAGTCTTTAAACGTATTCAATACGTTTCAAACTTTTCAAAGTACAATTGACTGTTGGGAATTTCCAATATGTTTAAAGGTTTTCCTATTTTGAAAGAGATTTTTAAAACGGGTATTCAATTTCGTTGAATGGGCTTATTATTTATATATTATGTGTATATAGAATATATTTTTACAAGGAAGTCTAATTCTGACATCCAATCAAAGTTATATAAGCATTTATAAAAGAACATTGGAATGTGAAATAATAATTAGAAGAGTATTCACCAACATGACACAGACAAAGGCAAGGTAGGTGTTTAAATTGATAAAGAAATATACACTTTACTGCAGCTTGTTCAATGTTATTATGGAAGATTCCGATAAAAAAAGTTGGGAATCTCTCTCTATCATCGAACCTTTAAAATAAACAGTCAATACTTCTTAATCACATGACTATATCAGGTTTTATTATATATTAAGTAGTAAATACAGTAAATTATGTGTTAGTTTTGTGAAAATGGACGTCACACTAAACTCCAAAACATATAAATGAACTAAAATTAAAAAAACATACTAGACTAACAAAGGCCAGAGGCTCCTGACTTGGGACAGGCGCAAAAATGCGGCGGGTTTAAACATGTTTTGTGAGATCCCAGCCCTCCCCCTATACCTCTAGCCAATGTAGAATAAAGAAACACATATCAATATGCACAGTAAAACTCAGTTTAAAAGAAGTCCGAGTCCAATGTCAGAAAAGGTAACAAAAGAAACTAAGCAAAATGACAATGATACATAAATGAACAAAGGACTACTAGCAGTTACTGACATGCCAGCTCCAGACCTCAATTAAACTGATTGAAAGATTATGTCTTCATCATATGAAAATCAAGTACAATCCCTCCCGTTAGGGGTTTAGTATCATACCATCATTAAATATATGGGAAGAACATAACCCATATCATGCCAACAACTGGTTTTAGAATAAATGTGTTTATTTCCGATGCAAAGACCCTATGAGTGAATCAATATTAATACCAAAATATGCAATTCTTAATGACTTGACAACAGTATCGTAACTATATCCTTTCCGAATATGTCTGTTTAAAGGTTTGGTTAGCTTTTGAGGTGAATGCCGACATTTTTGTGCTTTGTAAAGAATATTACCATAAAATATTGGATGTGAAATACCTGAACGTATAAGATGTCTGCATGTTGATTTATATTTACGAATGATGTCCTTGTACCGATGGTAAAATTTAGTAATAAAAGTGAGATTATTTGTACTTGAGGTATATGTATATAATAAAGTGTATATGATATGGCTTTTTCAATATCACACACCGTATCAACCCTCAACCAAAATAATCCCTCGAGCAGAGCTCTTAAGGTTGTATTGATGTCTCGGGTTGATACAGGTGTAATATTGAAAAAGCCATATGATATTCTCTATATATTTCGCTGTATCTTAAACAAAAATTTGAAACTATCGTATGGTTTTATGTAAATAACATTCAATGAAACGTAGGATGACATCAATGAGACTATGAATACAACTTTTTTGATGTTCACCTTTTTATTTACGTTTCGTCATATCGTCTGTTTTACGTATGGTATCTTATTCTTTCTATTGTATTTCCCCCTTTTTTCTATGAGAGAGGATTATTCTTGAGGTCTATGCATCCTTATTTTACTTCAGTTCTTTATTTTTTTTTATATCATTCGGAAGGCAAATAAAACAGAAAACAAAATATGACAAAACAGAAAAAAACAATAATAAAAACTATTAGAAAACTAAAGGTCGAAGTAAAAAATATTTTGTGAATTCGTAAATGAGTCAGCAATCCAACGGTACCAAAAAATTCAAGTACATCTGCATACAGTGTTCAATAGTAGACAAGTGTATACATAAGGTATCAAGCTATAAATCGAACCGATTGATAAATAGTAAGGGACGATCAAAGATCTGTCATCAACACTTAGTGTCCCGAATGACAAAACATTAAGATAAATGATACAACCACGAAAGATGTTCTTTGCTTTTGAAAGACATAAAACTTGTACTAGGATTGAACTTGTTTGTTTTTTTTCATTTTTAATCTTGCTTTTGATATTTTTTCCTCACTCAATTATCTTTTTCTTTTCAACTTTCCAGTGTTTAGCGTGATCATATCTGATCCAGTCTAAAAAAAAAAAGCTTTTTGTGCAACATAATAGAATCTTTGCGTCAAAATGTAACTGCTCTGTAATGTAAATATAAAAGTTGTAGACTAAAAGAGGGCTTACTTAGTTCGATATTGGCAGCAATTGGCCTTGCAACGTGTCACACATGGACATTTCTTACAGTTGTTGCAAGTGTTATTCAATGTGCCGAGAGGTTGGCAATCTCTATACACGAAAAAAAAATCGGTCCCATTTTGACCAAATAATTTTGCTATTCAGCAATCAAACTAAAAAGATAAATAAAATTTAGAAATCATTTGATAAAAGCAAATTTCTACCGTAAAATTCACTCTTGATAATATAATCCATCTCAAAATATTGCTATGATCAATACACATCCACAGTAAACAGATTTACCAGCATAAAATCGATTGGCAGGGGTAAATTAAAGCGACAGTAATTTAAAAACTTGATATATTGTATATACTTACCTACCAGAATTCTAAGTTGAAAATTGTGAAATTGTTACAAAAAAATAGAAATTTATAAACTAAATTTAGTTGATCTTGATTTTATATTTGGTATGTAGTTTTTGTTACAGAACTATTTTTTCTGCTGCGAGAGTCAATAAGAAAGAATATTTAATCTACTTCTTTTTTATGCTTATCCAAGATGAAATATAATATCATTATAGCCTCTTCAGACATATTGATGTGAAACAGAATATTTCTTTTTTTCCAGCAGCACCAGCATGTTCATTTCACATATTGCCTTAGTCTTTACTTTGATAGGTAAGTTAGTTATTACACATAATAACGTTAATATCATTTATTCTTTGATATCTTTAATGCGGTTTTTTAAATTAAATATTTAGTTGCTATGTATAAAGACAGATTGTAAATGAATATATTATTTTCTCAATTTTTAATAACATGTTTAAGGGGATAAATACTACCAGAAGACAATAGAGAGAGTTAAAAATTCTACTAATTTTTAATCCTCTTTCCCCGAATGTGACCTACCGAATTAAAACTTATCACCGGCGTTGTACCAACATAAGCAACACTACGGGTGCCACATTTGGAGCAGGATCTACTTACCCTTCTGCACCTGATATCAGCCGGTTTTTTTTTTGGGGGGGGGGGGAGGGGTTCGTGTTGCTCAGTCTTTAGTTTGTTTTCTATATTGTGTTTTTTTTTATTCTGTTGTTTGTCTCTTTTTTTTTCTTGTTTTTTGCCATGGCGTCGTCAGGTTATTTTCGACTTATGAGTTTGAATGTCCCTTTGGTATCTTTTGACTCTCTTTGTAGCGTATTTTTTAATTTTATGTAGAATACTGAATTTTATATATTCTAGTGCTATAGATTAGAGAATGAACCATTCCAAATGAAATTTATTTAAATTTGTTTAAGCTAATCTTCTATTCAAAGTTGATATTGAACAACAACGCATGTTTATCTTGTAGAATTATCTAACGCGCACTACGCAGAAGTAGAAGCTCCATGGATAATACCACGACGTGAAGCGCACTCGTTCCTCACAGCTCCAACTAGAAACAAAAGAAGTGATCCCGATTGCAATACAAACGAGTATTATTGTGAAGCAAACAAAGACAGCTGTATGGTAAAGACTTATTTGAACATTTGAATGAGTATATCAGATAATAATACAAAATTTAATAATAATATTAAACAGAAAAATATATATATTCATCGACGACGTTCAAAAGGGACTGTATAAGAAGTTGAAATGGTGACACGTTGATGAGACAGCAACCTAACATTCATAGGACCAAATTTCCTGTATTTATTATTTATTTGACTAGATTGCTATCTTTTTTTAGAAATATATACAAAAAAATTAATAAGGGTATATGGTATGATTGCAAATGAGAAGACTATCCACCAGTGACCAAAGGACGTGAATGTAAGCATACAGTTGGGATCGGTCCTAAATAAAGGCAACAGTAGTATACCGCTGTTCGAAACTCATAAATCGATAGAGATAAAAACAAATCCGGGTTACAAACTAAAACTGAGGGAAACGCATCAAATATAAGAGGAGAACAACGACACAACAAAAACACAACATTATAAATGTAACACACACAGAAACGAACTATAATATAACAATGGCCATTTTCCTGACTTGGTACAGGACATTTTAAGAAAAAAATGGTGGGTTGAACCTGGTTTTGTGGCATGCCAAACCTCCCGCTTTAATGGCAACGTCAAACACAACACCAAAACGACAACATCATATGACAGGACCACAATACAAATAAATGGGTGAACATATAGGACAAAGAAACACACGAATAATAGCTAACAAAAGGTACTAGGCTTAAAATTCAATACGCCAGACGTGCGTCTCGTCCACACAAGACCATCCAGTGACGCTCAGATGAAAAAAGCTTGAAAGCCAAAACAAGTACAAAGCTGAAGAGCAACGAGGACCAAAACTTCCAAAAAGTTGCGCCTAACACGGCCAGGGTTTTCTGCCTGGGACAAGAACATCCTTTTTATTTAGAATAATTTATAATTTTGCAAACAGTAAATTTTATAAAATGACTATATAATAGATATACATGATAAAACCGAAGTTGGGACTAACTACTGAATAAAAACGGATACATAACATAAAACAACTTAATCCAACATATAAAAATACACAGCCGAGTTAGCCAAAGCATCAACGCACAATAAAAAATTTTAAGAACTGTTCTATAAAATCCTAGAACTGTTTTAACTACTGTCTAAAACTGTTTAATTTAAACAAATTTTATTTGCTAAATATCAGCAAAATGGATGAAATACAAGTAAATCGTACATATGAAATCTTCTCTAAAACTGTTTAGGGCAGAACTATCCAAAACTGTTCTATGTTAGAACTATCCAAAACTGTTCTATGTTAGAAGTATCCAAAATTGTTCTATGTTAGAACTATCCAAAACTGTTCTATGTTAGAAGTATCCAAAATTGTTCTATGTTAGAACTATCCAAAACTGTTCTATGTAAATAGTATCCAAAATTGTTCTATGTTAGAACTATCCAAAACTGTTCTATGTTAGAAGTATCCAAAACTGTTCTATGTTAGAACTATCCAAAACTGTTCTATGTTAGAACTATCCAAAACAGTTCTATGTTAGAAGTATCCAAAACTGTTCCATGTTAGAACTATCCAAAACAGTTCTATGTTAGAACTATCCAAAACTGTTCTATGTTAGAAGTATCCACTATCCAAAACTGTTCTATGTTAGAAGTATCCAAAATTGTTCTATGTTAGAACTATCCAAAACTGTTCTATGTTAGAACTATCCAAAACAGTTCTATGTTAGAAGTATCCAAAACTGTTCTATGTTAGAACTATCCAAAACAGTTCTATGTTAGAACTATCCAAAACTGTTCTATGTTAGAAGTATCCAAAACTGTTCTATGTTAGAACTATCCAAAACTGTTCTATGTTAGAAGTATCCAAAATTGTTCTATGTTAGAAGTATCCAAAACTGTTCTATGTTAGAACTATCCAAAACTGTTCTATGTTAGAAGTATCCAAAACTGTTCTATGTTAGAAGTATCCAAAACTGTTCTATGTTAGAAGTATCCAAAATTGTTCTATGTTAGAACTATCCAAAACTGTTCTATGTTAGAAGTATCCAAAACTGTTCTATGTTAGAACTATCCAAAACAGTTCTATGTTAGAACTATCCAAACAAGTTCTACTCTAGAACTATCCAAAAAAGTTCTAGAGTAAAAATGTCAGAATCTGTTTGAAGTTTGAACTGTCCAAAACTGTTCTATGTTAGAACTATCCAAAAACTGTTCTATGTTAGAACTATCCAAAAACTGTTCTATGTTAGAACTATCCCAAAAAGTTCTAGAGTAGAACTATCAGAATCTGTTAAAGGTTAGAACAGTCCACAACTGTTCTATGTTAGAACTGTCTAAAACTGTTCTAGGGTATAACCGCTTCTGTCAGATACTGTTCTAAATGTGTCAGGAGAGCAGTTCTCTTGACATTTCCCAAATGATTTAAAGGGAGGTTAGAACTGATTCCTATTGTATATAGATCACCGTTTAACCTTCAAAAATGATCAACAGCCATACTGTATAGTAAGATACAAAAGGACCCAGCATGTGATAAATCAATAAACGAAAACAAATATGACAGACCACAAATGACAAACCACTGATCTACATACTTCTAGTCATTTACGAACGGAACAATAAAAGTCAAAAGATGGTTAAAACTGCAATTTTGATTGCATTTGATCAATTTCGGATAAAAAAATCCGTTCTTAATCAAAATAAAAATTTTCACGAAAGTAAAGCTTTGTATTTTGTTTGAAATACAAATATATAAATCTTGAGTAACGATATCTTCCGATGCAAAAATTTACAAAAATATGTGAAATTCGCAAATTTCGTTCAAATCTGTCTTAAACAGCAATGAGAGAATAAATAGATGTTGTGGTAATGAAACATTTTTAGTCTAACAAATCAAACACACTTTTCTGGTTGGAATTCGGTACACTTCCAATTTTTTTTATCAAATATGTTGTTTTCAAAGAGAAACATGCAAATAAAGCAATTATTTTCAGATGCACAACGAACAATCTCGGGAGCATTATTGCGGCCAGGGTCATACTTGTACTGCAACACAAGCGTGTTACCTATCTACACCCTGTCCAGCACATTACGCATTAGGCTGTACAGGTAATGTTAAAATTCATACTATTAGTATTTAAAAGGATTAGAATTCATTGAATTAATTTTTTTCATAAAATACATAGTGAAAAACAAATTTAAACAAATTGCAAATAATAAGCATAACCTGTATACCATACAAAGGAATATGATTCAAAGTACAAACAATATACTATTAACTAATATTTCTGTTTGTGTAGTGATAACTTTGTACTAAATATGTATTTTGTATCGTCATTTAGATGACCAGTGTCTGTCTTTTCCATGCCATAACGGAGCCACGTGTCAGGACACAAGTACTAGCTATAACTGTCAATGTGTTCCAGGCTGGGATCCAGCAACTAACTGCGCTACTGGTAGGTTTTTCTTTATAATGATGACAATGGATGGCTGCTTAATGTCCAGCGGCAAATTAATATGTATATTCAGGACAAGAACATGTTAATGTAATATGAATATTAACCCTGCTTTGTACTAGACCGACTAGCCGAGCCGGAATTTGAAAGTGCTAGTTTACAAGGTAACAGTCCACAGGAAGACGTGTCGCCTTACCACGAGACCACCAAGGCAGTTTTTCTTTAAAAGAAGTACCTCACTTAGGTTGTAGTCACTTACTCTTAGTTCCGAATGTGATGGAAGTAAACTTGTTTCTTAAACAATCAATTTATCAGTTTATTGATGCGTTTTATCAAGGCAAGGAACCAGCTGATCTAAACAGATTAACCTCGAAGTGTTGTGTTTCAGTCTGTGATTTAGAGGTAACTAGTAACTATGCTAAATGTAGCGTTATTTACTACTACTTTTGTCATCTTCGAAAAGACTGAATTATTGATGCGAGTCATGGAGGACGAAGAATTTAAAAAAAAAATTGAATACATATTTGTACTATAGTTACAGTTCTGTTTTGAAATGTATTAAATATATCAAACGTAAAAACAAACGACCCGATTTATGACAAACCAAACAAATTGCTGTGTGTTTGGTTATTCCACATTGGGTATAGGGGGAGGCATGAGATTTCACAAAACATGTTTAACCCCGCCGCATTTTGCGCCTGTCCCAATTTAGGAACCTCTGGCCTTTGTTAGTCTTGTATCTTTTTTTTTTATTTTGGTTCATTTATATGTTTCGGAGTTTAGTGTGACATCCATTTTCGCTGTACTAGTATACATTATTGTTTAGGGGCCAGCTGAAGCCCGCCACCGGGTGCGGGATTTTCTCGGTGTGTTGAAGACATCGGCGGCTTTGGGCTCTTTGTTCGGGTTGTTGTCTCTTTGACGCATTCCCCGTTTCCATTTTCAATTTTAAACAATAAACGAAAAACAAATATGACATACAGCAACAAAAGACAACCCCCCAATTAAAGTCTCCTGACTTGGAAGAGGCACATACAGAATGTGACTCGAGTACGCATGTAGTTCGCGCTCAATTCTATCCCTAACATGGGATTTTGGTGGTATAGCTCAACACAAGAACTAACTGTAGACATGGGTTGAAAATTGATTGTCTCATCGCATTAGCCCGAAGCACAAAAAAAAACCCAAAAAAACAAACAATTAACATCCAGACAAAAAACACAGCGCACCGGAATCATAATAAAGTATCCGGGTGGTGTGGCATATCTCCCTTTGGACTGTTACTTAAAGACTAGAACGTTAAAAGACCAGATATGTGTGTCAAGCTAGTAAAAAGCAAGGTTCATATTCATTTCGTATTTACTTGTTCTAGTCCTGAATATGAATTAAACTTGCCACTGGACGTCAATCATCGTGCTTTGGCGTCCTATTTTAATTTTGAATTAAATGCACTTCAATATTTGATTCTTTTTGGCTTTTAAATATTAAGTTCCAAGCACCACTGGTGAGGACTGAGATATGCTGCTGTTTTAGATTTCCTTGGACGGCTTCGTTGGCATACAGAACAGATAGAAAATATAATAGCCCTTTACTTTTTAACCAGGAAAAGGTTAATTAGAAACATGAAAAATAGTTAGAATATGTTTTGTTAACACATGATGTACTTACTCATTACTTTGTTTTATTGTTTTACAGATTATAACGAATGTCAGTCGGTTCCCTGTTTAAATGGAGGGTCGTGTAACAATTTATTTAATGATTTCACGTGTGACTGTACGGGAAGATATGAAGGAAGTGTTTGTGAAAAAGGTTAGATCTTAAATAATAAATCATCATTTCCTATATAAAAGGAATATTTTCGATACATAAGTATAAAATAATTTATTTAGATAACATGCATTTTAACCAAAATTAGTAAGTCTGGACTCGGTGGATGTACGGACCCACTTTTGAATACTATTGAAAATAGGCTTCAATTTCCCACCTAAATTACAAAATGAAATTATCTGTTTTTTTGGAATAATATAAGTTCTTTATCATTCTGAGTACGTGTTATATCATTTCAACAAAAAATCAAACAATAAAAAAAACAATAAAAAACTGAGAAAAAAGATATATTTAACACAATTAAAGAAAAAACAAATACCAAATACAGCAACAAGCAACAACCACTAAACTACAGGCTCCTGACTTGGGACAGGTAGTTATAGTATATAAGCAGCAGAGTTAAACGTATTTGCTGGATACAATACCCACCATCCTGGACAGTAGTGTAACAGCACGACAGAAGAACAAACGATAAAAAAACATTTGAAAAAGGCTAACTCATCAATTCGATATTATGCAAAAAAAAAAACAAAAAAAAAAAAACCAACAAAAATCAGTTAAAAAAACTGGTATGAAAAAACGGAGATTGTTTGATTATAATTTGCTGTTATAAAACTGTGGAAATCATTTTAAATTTAGGAACATATCTCCCTCCTGCAAAGCCCTGATTCCTCGGATTTGGCTATATACCATGTCCTTTTGGTTTCTTTCGAAGTAGTCAAGAAAGTCCCTCAGTCCAGCATATCGTCTGCAGAGTCTCAGAGTTTGTGGCACCCTGTCGGATTATCGAACTGTCGGCCTGTCGAACCGTCGGACTAAAGGGGCGTCGGATTGTCGAGCGGATCCCGTTTAAACTTTTTGTTTCCATGCTACAATGATACGAGACTTAACATACAACAATTGAATTGCAAGTGGACGGCAGATGATCACAAGGAAAAATTCTGTACATAAATAAAGCACATCAACCGATTTGATAAGCCAACTAAAGAACTCTCAAGCCAATTGCAATGCAATTGTTGTATGTGAAGTCTCATTTTATTGAAACATGGAAACAAAAAGTTTAAACATGGCTAAACCCGTTTCATGACGTCACGAGTATGTATTCATAAAGCCCCCGTCACACTAGACCAAGACCTTGAAGATCTTACTACGATCTATAAAACAATAAGATCGCAGTGAGATCGTGGTATGGTCGGCTTGAATATTCAATATTTCATAGTTTTCACGTTCGAACAACGACCTTGCTATGATCCTGATAAGATCCTGCTACGATTCCGCTACGATAGTAACACGTTCTAGTTACGATATTCACGCTCTTGCTACGTCTAATAAGACCTTACCACTCATCTCAATGCGAGTCTAATACGATCGAATCTCGACTCAACTACGTGTCCACTACGTTATCACTGCGCTCTTCGTTTGCTCACGTGTGTCCATGGTTGAACTACGGGTAGAAGTTATTGCATCCGTTTTTTTTTATATCAACAGAATGAGGTCGTGCAATTATCGTTGCTAGGACCAAGGAGGTTATATGTCTCATATGACCTCCTTGCTAGGACGTAGCAGAAACGTAGTAAGGTCGTATTAAGGACGGCAAGCGCGTAGGAGCAGCGTACTATTGTCTTAGACCTCATCGTAGTATAATCGTATCAATATCGTAGTACAAGCGTAATAAAGACGTAGTGAAATCGGGATAGACGCAGTGAAATCGTAGTAAGGTCGTAGCGAAATCTTTTCCATTGGCTTCCCGATTGCACAACGTTTCCAATACGATGCTTCTACACCCCCTTTTTTGCATTATTTTAAAATTCTGTTTTAAAAAGTAACAAAATAGATATATTGATTTTGTATGAGTAAAAAAGTATAACAAAAATACCGAGCTCCAAGGCAAATTAACTCGGCCTTTACTCACTACATAACATGAAGTCGTTCAGATTTAATTCAATTTGTAACAGAAAGCCAATGAGACAGGTACACATCAATTGGTTTAATTCAAGTCTTTTATAAACATATGTTCATGCGGGATCCCTAGTTTTAGTGCACTCATCTCATTCATATAAACTAATATCGATTTTAATCAGGACGACACGAACAATAGAAGTAGACATTTATTGTCGAAATGCGCATCTGGTGCAGAGAAATTGGTACTGTTAATGTTAATACTAATAAAGAATCTTTTTATGTCATCCTATTCCGAATCATGTACAACTCTTATATGTTGTATTTTTCTTAGACAACAAGAAAGACGGTTAGTGTAAACCTTTTAGACTGTAAACTGTTATTTGCTCATGGGATGTGTTCTACTTATTATTAAATGCATTTGAGAATTGTTTTTAATCTGTCTTTTCAGATTGTAGACCAGGTCCCGCAGACATCGTATTTGTAGTGGATACATCTGACAGTTTGCAAAAAGGTGTAAATAAAAGCATCGACTTTATTAATCAATTTATCAGCAAAGTTCCTATTGGTCGAAATGATTTCCAAATTGGTGTAATAGCCTATAACTTTAATTCCACAGTACTATTTGATCTCGATGATTACACATCGGCTTCCGATATGTCATCTGTTTTGAAGACTGTTAGGGGAGAAGAAGCTGCAACGTACACGGCCACGGCATTACGGCAAGCTCGAGAGGTAAACTTGATATATAAAAAAATAGTGTTAAAACGTGATATGTCATTGTATGGTATGAATTATATAAAACATTAATGAATTCTTCGAATTCGTGTATGCTATTTATATATATTGCTAATGATTTATTACGAAGATTTCAAATTGTTTATATCTCTGAAAGTATAAATCCTACACATATCATTTTGTTACTAACAGACCCAGTTCAATGAGACCTTAATGCATACGTAATTTCATATAAATCCCAAAAGACCGCCAAATTATGTGTATTTCTCCAAAATCATATAATTTTGATCGTTCCTTGGTGTTTTATTTATAATATGTCAATTTGTGCCCCATTGTTTTCCATGTTTAATCATGCAATTTCAAGCATTTACAGCTATGTTTTCTTATGTTCAAATAAATTGACAGTCAGTTCCTGTCAAAACTTTTCCATATCCTGCTTTGTGCTGAAAAATTGAACATACCTTTAATTGCATAAGAACTCACTGTTTCCGGCAAGTTTGGTAAAAGTAAAAAAACAAAACAAAACCGGAGCTTCTGATCTGAGCTGCAGGCAAAATATGCCCTCTCATTTCAATTTAATATATTTTTTAATTATTCAAAATAGAACTTCAACAAGGAATCTTCATTTATAACTATTCCTTAAACTTTCATTGAATAACAAAAGTACTCGAGTGTATAATTACTAGTACTTATATATAAAGTTACAGCTATACGTAGGAACTATTTGTTTAAAATATGTACTTCTTTCTTGAATGCATCTCCTGACCGGGTCCAAATAAATTGTTCTATACATTTAGTTCACCACTGTTTTATAAACAATTTTGTAACCAATTTACAAATATTTAAAAGTTTTTATGATAACATATTAATTGCATTGATGTTTTAATATGCTTATTTGAAAATATGGCGAACAATTTTGTCTTTTAAACCATGTTTAAAAATATTCCGTCTCTGAAAAAGAACTTAAGGGAAAAAGTAGTGAGACTTAGAGAAATAAACAATATAGATGTCAAATTCTTTCTATGTGGCGTTTATTTGTTTTAAAAACTAGCAGAATATTTGTTGCAGATGATAACAAGCTATTCAATGGGATCACGTGGAACAGCAAGTTACATTGTCCTGATGCATGACGGTCTGTCAACAGACAGGAACGAGGCTTTCTACGAGGCGCAGATAATAAACTCAATGGGTATACGTATTCTAACAGTCGGAATTGGTCAGTCGATCGCATATATAGAGATGTTGACGATTTCAAACAGCCAGTTTTATACGTTCAGCCCAAATCATCTAGATGACATGTATAACCAGATTCTCAAAGAAACAGTGCATACTGATTGTACAGGTACTTTGATTATATATATATATCAAAAAAGAGAATTGAAAAAGAAAACAAATGCTATTAAATACTATTTCGTATATCACTAATTTGAATGGATAAATACAAAACTGCATACATCGTTTGAAGAACTGTTAAAACGTTGCTTGTTGGTTTTATTTTCAATCACAGGGATCTGCAATGTTTCTTCTACCGTTTCTGTGCTACATTTATATTCAAGTAAATAAAATGTGTTTTTTTTTCACACTAGAGATTTTATTTAAAACTAAACATTCTAGCTATACAGCAATACAATCGTCTTTATTTAAGTCATATGCCAGAAAGTAACTTAAGGATGTTCGCTCCTCTTGTTTTTGAATTTTTGCCAGATATTCGGAATCCTCTGGTTTTATCCATGAGGTGCCATTACAAATTTTTGCCACTAACCCCTAATTTTCTTTTCATAATTTGATTAAATATAGTTTGAAATACCATCTTTGAAAATCTTCTTAAATCCTTGTTATTTTTTTTATACTTTTAGACAGAGAAAAGGTGCCAATGTTAAATGTATGAAAAATCTATTGAGAATCATTTCCCGCCAAATTTTCAATGACTTATATCTCGAAAACAAGCACACGGACCCTTCATTTTTATCTGCTTTTTTAGTTCCTTTATTTATATACTATCAATTTATTACAGTCTTTTAAAAAGCTTATTATTTTGAAACAGAGTAGCGAACATCCTTAACCTCAATGAGGCAACAACAAAACAAGTGAAACGAAATAGAATATAAAGTTGCTGCTTAATATTCTTACTTTACTCGTTCCACTACCATACAGAATTCTAATTCTAAGCTTTTCTGAATATCTTTACTGTTCACAGCTTCTGTTTTACTTGATAGTTTGACAATCATCATTGCAAAACAGCACTGTACATTCACAATCAATACATTTTGAAACGACATTGTATATGAAGTTGTATATATTTTTACAGATTGCAACTTGGAGGAAGATACTCAGGTAATCATTCTTCTGGATACTAACGGCAACCAAACGATAGACAGTTACAACGATCGTCTTACAGCCACACGTAACACCATAGACAAAATATTATCGTATAACCCAAGTGCTAACATTGGTATGTATTCATATTCAGACGAACCGGAAGAGGTGTTTTCTTTAACATGGTCAGGTGACAAAGATAAACGTATCGCAGCAGCGTTACAAATTGACCTTGACAATCATTTATCATCAAACCTTAGTCATGCCTTGCAACATTTACGAATAAGTAATCAGTTCACATCACTAAGAAAGATGGTGGTAATTGTCTCAAATGGAATGTGGACTGATATGGATGAAATAAAGAAGGAAGTCTCGTATTCCGAAGTACATGGTATAGAGGTGAATGGCGTTGTTGCTGGAGAAGACAATGTAATTGAAAATTTTCAGACCGTTTTGAATGATCCTAGTCAAGTGTTTTATGCAGAAGATGGCGACTTCAGAGCATTAGACTCGCTCACTGCAATGACAAAATATTATGTTTGTGTTGACAATATATTTAGTACACGACAATAAATGTATTACTTATTTTATGTTTTTTTAGAAAAAAAATATGTTGTTACTTTATCATTGTATTGTTATGAGCTTAAACAACTCAAGAAGCAAAAACGAGACAGGGTCTTTAACAAACTGTTCTGGTAACAGTAACACAGGTTATTTTCAGTCGGTATACAAACAAGAATCAAACATGTCTTTATATATCTCTGGTGGAGAGTTGGCAATCATACCACATCTTCTAATTTTTATATATAAGAAAAATATGACAAATTAAAGTATCAACTTACCATTTTAATGCAAAAAGGACAAGACTATAAAGATAACACTTTATACATTTATTGAGTCTTCATTCGGAACACTCAAAGATAAAATTTGAATGCCAAAGATGAATAAGTACTTGAAACCGGAGGGAGATAAATGATCACAATGGTTCTATAAAGAACAGTAAAATTCCAACAAGATCAATTATGTCCGAGGAAGTTGAAACCATAGACTACTGAGCTGTCGATACCATCGGAAACTAGCAGTCCAACAGCAGAGGTATATAACAAGTGCTAGTAAATGAAAATAACACTCTAGAAATTTGTTTTGTCCAAAGAGCTTATCTAGAAACATCTTTATAAGGAACGCTCAAATTTAAAACAAAATTTTTAAAGAAAAGAATGGATTTGTACTGAAAAACAATAGCATCTATATGGCCAAAAGGGACCTCAAAAGAATAGCCAAATCTATTATGGTCAACTTTCCTGAGGAAGTTGGAACATTAGTTTTTGAAAATGTTTTTTTTATATATCTTTGGAGAATTAAAGAAAAGACTGTTTTAATGCATGTACGTTTTAAATCACTACTTACTTAACAGAAATTGACATGAGATTATACAGTGTTTAAACAATTTTGTTGTTATTGTTTGTCAGGTATATCTTAATTATTTAAATTGTAGACCTTGTTACAACCTTCTTGACCAAAGCTATGAATCAGAACTTCACTGGTCGATTTTTTTATTTGTGGTGTTCTGTCATTGCTATTTGCCCGTTTTGTACCTAATGATTTGGTTTTCTGCTTTGCCGTACAATCTTTCTCATTCCACAGTATTTTGGTTTTGAATAGTAATCTTTGATTGATATATTTAGAAACCTTTATGTAATTTGAGAGAATAATGTTCACCTATTTCTGTTGGAATTTGGATTTTTTTCCTGTGTAACAGTCAAATTATTTATAAATGCAAAACTGATTTAAGTTGGTGATAATATACTGCATGAGATAATTTGATTGTTTAAATGGTATTGTTCCGTTAAAACGAGAACTATAGTGAACTGTTGGCCACTTAGAAACTACAATATTATACTAAATATGGTATTTTGAACGAAATGATACTTGAAATACATTTAATTTTTTTGTTCATTGATTGTATCAGTTATTGAATTATATATATATATATATATCGATTTGTATATAATTGTCTATAACGTTACAGTTACATTAGATTGTAGACATTTAATGCGCTAGATGCGCATTTCGACAATTAATGTCTCTTCATTTTTGCTTTAGTATAAAAGTTGAAGATCTGATATAATCGAAAAGGACCAAATTCGGAAAAGTAATTAAACCGATGCATATGTTGCTTTCAAGGGAAAAAGATTAATGTAATCCTTGTATAACAATATAGAGAAACTTAAATAGAAATTTGGTAAATATAGATGAGAAAATCCAAAGAATTTAAACCCTAGATAAAAAAATATCCCGTCCAAAGTCATTTTTGCGTTTGAAAGGGAGCAATAATTTTATCGCATAGGAAACATAATTCCTATAATCATTGTTATATATGTAGCATCAAAATATTGATTGACCTGACGATTTAACATCTTAATTGTGACTACTTTACGCATATTTAGAGCATATTCAGAGAGAGAACTTTAATTGCAGAAACTGAAAAGCGTATTTTTTACTGTAAGGAAAAGAGAGGCGAAAGATACCTATGGGACATTTAAACCCATAAGTCGAAAATAAACTGACAACGCCATGGCTAAAAAAGAAAAAGACCAACAGAAAACAACAGTACACAAAACACAACATAGAAAACTAAAGACTGAGCAACACGAACCTCGCCAAAAACTGAGGTGATCTCAGGTGGTCCGGAAGGGTTAGCAGATCTTGCTCCACATGTGGTACCCGTCGTGTTGCTCGATATCATTTTGAGTAGGATAAGAACTGTAGTATCATCACACGTAACTTTTAAAACCGTTTGTAGTTTGGTCAACATATTGAGAAAATTGCAATCTCTCAACAAATGGAGTTTAATGTACCTAGTCGGTCGCGATTGGACTGCGTATTTATATATACAACATATCTAAACGGTCACTTTATCTTCACTTGCAACTGTTTTTATTCAAGCGCCACTGATGAGTCTTATGTAGAAACATCTGGCGTCCTAAATTATAAGCCTGGTGATTTTATTCTTCATTAGCGGAGGTATGATCGAAAGGATAGGTTTGTATAATCATAATTATATAGCCAGTTACCTTTGAATTCAAACTTAATTTATAAATTACACTTAATTGATTCCACACTACTGGTGCACTGCGTTTCGCCTTCGGTACTGGTATGAAAATATGGATATCAAAAATTTGATGTTGTCAAATCTAAGTACTAGTTATCATTTTGCATTAATGAAATTCTCACGCTTAAGCAAAGCTCTAATTCCTTAGCAAGGTTTAGCTTTACTTATGTTCTTGTAGTTTTTACCAGCTCTTAATGTTTGTAGTAGGCTTTGAATTTACAAATAGTTTAGTTTTGGAGCACCACTTTCACAAGAACCAGTAATAACGAAACGTAACCTATTGCAGTAAAATTGGTATTGTATATTATTTCAATATCCTTTTTTGTCATATAGCTCTTCACCTGTTTTGGTTTTTATCTTTCGGCCTTGGCTTTCAAATATTTGACTTTGTACGTTCCTGGTGAGGGTAAATCGAAAAAAGCGCATCGGACGCAAGTGTCATTTTCTTTTTATGTTATTTCATTTACACGTAATCTAGTTTATATTAAAAAGGCCAATTTATAGGTATTCTCATAATTTAAAAGGAGGTCAGATTTATTGAGATATTCCACGGGTATTTAAATTTTAATTATGTGTTTTCATATTGATACACTCATAAAATACTATTTACAAGGAAGAGGTGTATTCAATTATCAAAAAAAAAAAAAAAAAAATGAATGACCTTAGAAAAATATCCTCAGTTTTGTGAATGTGAACTATTATTTAAAAAATATTGAAAAGAAAGTATTAGCCAAGATAAAAGAAAGGTAAGCGTTTCAATTTATGGGGCAATATACAATATTTGCATGATTATCTTAATATATGATACATTTAATAATATGTATGATTAGTTTTTCATCTTTTCAACCGAAGTTTTTGTTCGGTAAATAATGCAGGTGAACGCCAATTTGACTAAGAAAAAGAGAAAACTAAAACAAAAATTGTCACTGAAAAAGTTTTCATCATTTCATGTGTTTGGATTTGACACACTAAATTTACGTTGCTGATTTATGTGTATGATTGGAAATGCCAATATCTACGTCTGATGCACAAAATTTAGTAAGTGTTATTTTAAACATGTAGACAACAAAAGGTCATACGGAAATACCTATATTAGGGTTTTCGTATGTGAAACAAGTGAACACGTTTACTTACTATTGTACTTAGTATGCAGGATAATATCTCTACATATTTGACTTCAATTTCGTTTAATTTATTGCATTGCTATTCATTTGTGTATGATGAAAAAAATTCCTCAGGTATTTTGAATAAGAGTTTTCCTGGATGTAAGGAAACGATTTGGTTATTATAAAAAATGATAAATTGTAATCAATCACATCTGAAAGCAATATTCAAGAGAGGCGAGAAGATACCAAGGGGATATTTAAACTTAAAAGTCGAAGACAAACTTACAACGACCTTAAGACAAACAACAGTCTACAAAATACAACGTAGAAAAATAAAGACTTAACAAAAGACCCAACGAAAACCGGGGGGTGATCACGGTGAAATTATCAGAAGTTTGATTGATAAGATATTTGTTTTTTTCTCAAAGGGACATTAACGCAGGTACCACTTCAGCAAAAACAATTGGATCTAAAAAAAATTCAAGTACTTATTAGATGTTGTCATAATCTAGATCAATCGTTTTTCGAACAGATCTATGGTCGATTCCCAACTACTGATGACCTCCTTTCCCTTTCGGTACTGGCATGAAAATATGGATATTAAACTTTGCTGTTGTCAATTTTTTTGTAATAATTTTGAATTAATGAATTTCTCTCCCTCACGCATAGCTCTGATTCTTTAGTCGTGTTTTCCTATGATTGTTTTTCATTTTAGTTTTTACTAGCCCTAAATGTTGGTAGTAGGTTTTGAATTTACAAATAGTTTAGTCTTGAGCATCACTGAAGAACCCTTAAAGGGGCACTAGCTACGAGATATATAAAAAATCTAAAATAGGATGTTTTTTTTTGTTCAATCATTAACGAAAGTGAAATAGTGAAATAATAATTCGCTTTTAACAGCAAGTATGGTTCAATTTTGACAAGATAAGCTAAGAAACATTGAAGATTAATTATTCACTTGTAAGTGAATAATTCGACCTCATTGAATCCGTATTCATGCGAACTTCAATTTAACCCCTTACCTAGAGATGGATAACGCATGAATCGTGCGTGACCAGTCATTTAAAGGAAAAGAATGTCAACATTGAAAGTGAAACAAAGGTAAATCATTTGATTGACTGATTTGATCGACAAAAAATCATTCTTATACAGGTAAAAACGATGATGAACATATATTTTTAATCTATAATATGAAATTAAATAGATCTAGAAATGTCCAAATGCACAAGTTAGCTTTTTTAACCTTAATCCGTCCTGTTGGAAAGATGCGTGGTTCCGTCTTCAGGTGAATCCTCCTTCCTCGGCTGTTTCGACGCTGTCCACTACAACCTCCAGAGGTGCGCCGACTGGGGTGATCAAGTCCCAGCCCGTAACCACATGGCTATCCATCCCTGCCTCTACACTTTACTGCTTCCACTGCTCAGACCTTTTCCTCCACAACCACATTGATGATGTCTCTGCCTCTTTGCACAAGTTACCAATCAGCTTACTTCTTTCCCCTCCAACAATACCAAGTGCTCTTAATGCCCTGCACATAGACTGTCCAACAAACCCTCTGCTTCCCACTTCCACTGGAAATAACCAAACCCTCCATCCATTATATCTACATTCTGCAAGTAGGTCTTGATACTTCAATCTCTTTCTTTCGTTGGCATCATCTATTCTTTCTTCCCATGGCACGGTTAGTTCCAGCAGGATTGCCTGTTTTGTTGAGGCTAACCAAAGGACGATGTCAGGTCTCTGGTTTGTAACTGCAAGCTGTGGCGGGAATTGTAACTTCTGCTTCAGATCAACCAACATTTGCCAATCAGTTGCTGTTCCCAGTAAACCACTTCCTTCCACACTCTTCTTCTGTCCTTTCTCTCCTTCCTTAACAAAATTGACAAAAGTAATGCCTTCCTTGTTTTTTCTTGGCTTCCTGATGTTTCTCTCCCTAGGGTGTCTGCTAGTGTCCCTAATACCTTGTCGTGTCGCCATGTATACCTCCCGTCTTTCAAATCACTCGAGCATGAAGATAATATATGCTCCAAGTTTGCTGGCTTACTGCAAAGAACATACTTTGGGTCATCTATCAATCCCCATGTTGCTAGATTTGTTGGGCTTGGCAATACATCATATACTGACTTCAGCTTGAATTGCAACCTATATGGCTCCATCTTCCAGATCTCATTCCATCCTAACTTCTGCTGCCTTGCTCCTTCCCAGTTTAACCAGCTTCCTTGTTTCTTC